TTAATCCCATTGTGAACTTGTGGTCAATCCTCAAGAGGCGGGTGGACAAACAAAAACCCACAAATTCTGACAAACTCCAAGCATTGATTATGCAAGAATGGGCTGCCATCAGTCAGGTTGTGGCCCAGAAGTTAATTGACAGCATGCCAGGGCGGATTGCAGAGGTCTTGAAAAAGAAGGGTCAACACTGCAAATATTGACTCGTTGCATAAACTTAATGCAATTGTCAATAGAAGCCTTTGACACTTATGGAATGGTTGTAATTATACTGCAGTATACCATAGTAACATCTGACATAAAATATCTAAAAACACTGAAGCAGCAAACTTTGTGAAGACCAATACTTGTCATTCTCAAAACTTTTGACCACGACTGTAGACCACACTATCTACCAAGAGAGTTCTCATCTATATTATTCGTAGCCGTCTATTTACGATCACAAACCCATGCTGGCACTAAGACCACACTCAATTAGCTGTATAAGGCCATAAGCAAACAAGAAAATGCTCATCCAGAAGCGGCGCTCCTAGTGGCCGGGGACTTTAATGCAGGCAAACTTTAATCAGTTTTACCTAATTTCTACCAGCATGTCACATGTGCAACCAGAGGAAAGAAAAACTCTAGACCACCTTTACTCCACAGACAGAGACGCATACAAAGCTCCCCCTCGCCCTCCATTTGGCAAATCTGACCATAATTCTATCCTCCTGATTCCTGCGTACAAGCAAAAACTAAAGCAGGAAGTACCAGTGACTCGCTCAATACGGAAGTGGTCAGATGACGCGGATGCTACGCTACATGACTGTTATGCTAGCACAGACCGGAATATGTTCCGAGATTCATCCAATGGCATTGAGGAGTATACCACCTCAGTCATCGGCTTCATCAATAAGTGCATCGACGACGTCGTCCCCACAGTGACCGTACATACATATCCCAACCAGAAGCCATGGATTACAGGCAACATCCACATCGAGCTAAAGGCTAAAGCTGCCGCTTTCAAGGAACGGGACACTAATCTGGACGCTTTTAAGAAATCCCGCTATGGCCTCAGACGAACCATCAAACAGGCAAAGCGTCAATACAGGACTAAGATTGAATCCTACTACACCGGCTCTGACGCTCGTCGGATGTGGCAGGGCTAGCAAACTATCACGGACTACAAAGGGAAACCCAGCCGCGAGCTGCCCAGTGACGCGAGCCTACCAGACGAGCTAAATGCCTTTTATGCTCACTTCGAGGCAAGCAACACTGAAGCATGCATGAGAGCACCAGCTCTTCCGGACGACTGTGTGATAACGCTCTCGGTAGCCGATGTGAGCAAGTCCTTTAAACAGGTCAACATTCACAAAGCATGCGCTGACCAACAGGCAAGTGTCTTCACTGACATTTTCAACCTCTCCCTGACCGAGTCTGTAATGCCTACGTGTTTCAAGCAGATCTCCATGGTCCAGGTAACCTACCTAAATGATTACCGCCCTGTAGAACTCATGTCGGTAGCCATGAAAGGCTGGTCATGGCTCACATCAACAGCATCATCCCGGATACCCTAGACCCACTCCAATTTGCATACCGCCCAAACAGATCCACAGATGTCACAATCTCAATCGCACTCCATACTGCCCTTTCCCACCTGGACGAAAGGAACACCTATGTGAGAATGCTGTTCATTGACTACAGCTCAGCGTTCAACACCATAGTGCCCACAAAGCTCATCACTAAGCTAAGAACCCTGGGACTAAACACCTCCTTCTGCAACTGGATCCTGGACTTCTTGACGGGCCGCCCCCAGGTGGTAAGGGTAGGGAACAACACGTCTGCCACGCTGATCCTCAACACTGGGGCCCCTCAGGGGTGCATGCTTAGTCCCCTCCTGTACTCCCTGTCAGCTACGACTGCGTGGCCAAACACGACTCCAACACCATCATTAAGTTTGCTGACGATACACAGCAGTGGTAGACCTGATCACCGACAACGATGAGACAGCCTATAGGGAGGTGGTCAGAGACAATGTGAGCAAGACAAAGGAGCTGATCGTGGACTACAGGAAAAGGCGGGCTGAACAGGCCCCCATTAACATTGACGGGGCTGTAGTGGAGAGGGTCGAGAGTTTTAAGTTCCTTGGTGTCCACATCACCAACAAACTATCATGGTCCAAACACACCAAGACAGTCGTGAAGAGGGCACGACAACACCTTTTCCCCCTCAGGAGACTGAAAAGATTTGGCATGGGTCCCCAGATCCTCAAAAAGTTATACAGCTGCACCATCGAGAGCATCCTGACCGGTTGCATCACCGCCTGGTATGGCAACTGCTCGGCATCTGATCGTAGGGTAGTGCGTATGGCCCAGTACATCACCGGGGACAAGCTTCCTGCCATCCAGGACCTATATACTAAGAGGTGTCAGAGGAAAGCCCCAAAAATGGTCAAAGACTCCAGTCACCCAAGTCATAGATTGTTCTCTCTGCTACCGCATGGCAAGCGATAGCGGAGCGCCAAGTTTGGGACCAAAAGGCACCCCAAAGCCATAAGACTGCTGAACAATTAATAAAAATGGCCACCTATTTACATTGACCCCCCCAACCCCCTCCATGTGTTTTTACACTGCTGCTACCCGCTGTCTATTATCTATGTATAGTCATTTTACCCCTACCTACATGTACAAATTACCTCGACCTTCCTGTAGCACCGCACATTGACTCGGTACCCCCTGTATATACAGGGAGGGAAAAAAGTATTTGATCCCCTGCTGATTTTGTACGTTTGCCTACTGACAAAGACATGATCAGTCTATAATTATAATGGTAGGTTTATTTGAACAGTGAGAGACAGAATAACAACAAAAAGAATCCAGAAAAACGCATATAAAATTGATTTGCATTTTAATGAGGGAAATAAGTATTTGACCCCTCTGCAAAACATGACTTAGTACTTGGTGGCAAAACCCTTGTTGGCAATCACAGAGGTCAAACGTTTCTTGTAGTTGGCCACCAGGTTTGCACACATCTCAGGAGGGATTTTGTCCCACTCCTCTTTGCAGATCTTCTCCAAGTCATTAAGGTTTCGAGGCTGACGTTTGGCAACTTGAACCTTCAGCTCCCTCCACAGATGTTCTATGGGATTAAGGTCTGGAGACTGGCTAGGCCACTCCAGGACCTTAATGTGCTTCTTATTGAGCCACTCCTTTGTTGCCTTGGCCGTGTGTTTTGTGTCATTGTCATGCTGGAATACCCATCCACGACCCATTTTCAATGCCCTGGCTGAGGGAAGGAGGTTCTCATCCAAGATTTGACAGTACATGGCCCCGTCCATCGTCCCTTTGATGCGGTGAAGTTGTCCTGTCCCCTTAGCAGAAAAACACCCCCAAAGCATAATGTTTCCACCTCCATGTTTGACAGTGGGGATGGTGTTCTTGGGGTCATAGGCAGCATTCCTCCTCCTCCAAACACGGCGAGTTGAGTTGATAACAAAGAGCTCGATTTTGGTCTCATCTGACCACAACACTTTCACCCAGTTCTCCTCTGAATCATTCAGATGTTCATTGGCAAACTTCAGACGGGCCTGTATATGTGCTTTCTTGAGCAGGGGGACCTTGCGGGAGCTGCAGGATTTCAGTCCTTCACGGCGTAGTATGTTACCAATTGTTTTCTTGGTGACTATGGTCCCAGCTGCCTTGAGATCATTGACAAGATCCTCCCGTGTAGTTCTGGGCTGATTCCTCACCGTTCTCATGATCATTGCAACTCCACAAGGTGAGATCTTGCATGGAGCCCCAGGCCGAGGGAGATTGACAGTTCTTTTGCGTTTCTTCCATTTGCGAATAATCGCACCAACTGTTGTCACCTTCTCACCAAGCTGCTTGGTGATGGTCTTGTAGCCCATTCCAGCCTTGTGTAGGTCTACAATCTTGTACCTGACATCCTTGGAGAGCTCTTTGGTCTTGGCTATGGTGGAGAGTTTGGAATCTGATTGATTGATTGCTTCTGTGGACAGGTGTCTTTTATACAGGTAACAAGCTGAGATTAGGAGCACTCCCTTTACGAGTGTGCTCCTAATCTCAGCTCGTTACCTGTATAAAAGACACCTGGGAGTCAGAAATCTTTCTGATTGAGAGGGGGTCAAATACTTATTTATAATTTTAATGGTAGGTTTATAAAATTTTTGACATGCGTTTTTCTGGATTTGTTTGTTATTATTCTGTCTTTCACTGTTCAAATAAACCTACCATTAAAATTATAGATTGATCATTTCTTTGTCAGTGGGCAAACGTACAAAATCAGCAGGGGATCAAATACTTTTTTCCCTCACTGTAGCCTCGTTACTTGTTTTTTTTGTTTATTTAGTAAATATTTTCTTAACTCTTTCTTGAACTGCATTGTTGGTTAAGGGCTTGTAAGTAAGCATTTCACGGTAAGGTCTACACCTGTTGTATTCGGCGCATGTGACAAATCAAGTTTGATTTGATTAAAGTGAGCTAAAATAAATCAATATCTGCTTTTTTTGTTGAACGCTCCAACTCCTTTCTACCTCAAATTAGTCATTTTGGAAGTTTTCTTGGTAAACCCTTTTTGCCATTGTTGTTGAGCACCCTTCCTTTCCTTTGTTTGCTGAAGCGCTAAGGCCCACCTGAACATGGCAACCATGTTCTGTGTATGTTTGGTGGGACGTTGATGGAATATTCACCTAACCCACAGAAAACTGGACACATGAATGTTCTTGCAATATTCTCATTTAACGTGTCTAGAACATTAATATCTTATGTTTTAAGAGTTCTATTTGACATTAAGCGAATGGTCTCTTGGAGACATTCCTTGCACATCACGGGAACATTCCTAAGAAAACGTTAGTTAATGACCTAATGAGACTCTTAAGCGAATGTTCTCTAAAGTTGTGGGCACGTTTGTTGTTAGCTGGGATGTCTGTGCATACATATGTGGTGGTCTGGTGAGTCTATACCTGCTTCGTCTGTGGTGATGGTGAGTTCGTTGCTGGCCTCACTCTTGCCGATGTGGTTCTTGGCAAACATGCGGATGCTGTAGGTAGATGAGGGGTGCAGGTCTATGATGGTGGCCTGGTTGAGCTGGGGAGACACGTCTTTGGTCCTTTGGGCTGTTTCCCAGGAGCCTGTAGGTCCGGGGTCAAGGTTTATGTGGGTTAGTGAGGACCACTGAGTGGGGCTAGAGGTCAAAGCTTGCTAAGTGCATTAATCTGCTGTATTGAATTATAGCACTGAGACAAGAAAATATAATGAATGATGATTCTCTGGAAGACAAAAGGAGCGCATCCAGCTTAACATGATGATACAGAGAAGCATTTCACCAGGATAGACATACACAGGAAGTTAAAGTATTTGTATTCTATGCCATACACAGTGGGGATTGCTCTTTCCTGGGGGACTCCGGGGCCATGCTCCTCCGAGACATTCTACTCCAAAGTGCATGAAAATTACATTATGTTGACACCATCTGAAATATAACTGATGCGCGCCACTGCACTGTAGGGAGATGAGGAGCAAGTGGTGGCTGTGCACTCGTGGCTCTCATTCGCGCCACTGCTCACTTTGTTTGCTACAAATTGATGTTGTAACTTGTCACTCTGATTTTAAAGGGATAGTGCGAGATTTGGAAATCAAGCCCTTTTCTACTTACCCAGAATCAGATGAACTCATGACTCATGGATACCATGTTTATGTCTCTGCGTGCAGTTTGATAGAAGTTGAAGGTAGTTTCGTGAGCCATTGTTAATTAGCGTTAGCAGAATGACAGGAAGTCATAGACTTGCAGTCATTGCGCTAAAGCTAGTTAGCAAGTTCCTTCAAACTGCACGCAGAGACATAAAAATGGTATATAAATGGTATCCATGAGTTCATCTGACTCTGGTAAGTATAAAAAGGGCTTAATTGCCAAAATTGCCAAAGCTGTCATCAAGGCAAAGGGTGGCTATTTGAAGAATCTCAAATATAAAATATATTTTGATTTGTTTAACACTTTTTTGGTTACTACATGATTCCATATGTATTATTTCATAGTTTTGATGTCTTCACTATTATTCTACAATGTAGAAAATAGTAAAAAATAAAGAAAAACCCTTGAATGAGTAGGTGTGTACAAACTTTTGACTGGTAGTGTAGGTGAAACACTGCTTACAGTATTACTATACATTGCTGGCATCCAGAACATACCATCTCTTACAAAGAGATCTCTTGTTTGTCTTGTACCTGATTTGTTCTTGCACTCAATGTCGAAGCCTGTGATTGGGCTGTTTCCGTCAAAGCCCATGGTCCAGCGGAGGGCGATGGTCCTGTCCTTCACCTCTCTGATCTCCACCTCAGGAGGGTCCGGGGGCTCTGAGGGACACCACAAAGTCAAACATATGTGTTAGAGCCCTGCATGGGCATGAATTTTAACTCCAAGCCCTACCCATGCCCACGACATTAAAAGCACTACCATACCCAGGCCAGATTGCTTCAGCCAAATTTAAGGCCCTGCCTTAAACCCGAAATCAGAAATAACTTCCTCCGTTAGTAAATCCATTAGCTGCTCCTCTCTGTCTGTCACTCGCTCCCTGCGTTGCGCTCACTCTGCATGCGCTCTGCTCATGGTGCTCTGAGTCTGTGAGTATTCATAGCAACATCTCCCCTTGGGCTGCTCTGCTCAATGAAGAGACATGAGAGAGCAGTTAGCTCTTAGCTATTTTTCGTCACCCTAAACTCAGACAAAACTCAATGAACATGATTATTTTCTGTGAAATAATCTCTCCTGTCTTATATTTGATGAGGTTGAAGCACTTCTGACACCATGTTATAATCTTAGTCAGATATGACTTTACTGTGCAGCAGAGCACAAGCAAATGTCTCAGTTTCAAAATGTTAGTGATCAGTTTAGTGACACCCGAGCACTGCCCGTACCATAGTTATTGATGAAAAAAACACCCCTATCCGGTCCTAACCCAATGTATAATGTTGGGCCTGTCGGGCTTGGGTGGGGTAGCAGAGCTCTAATATGGGTATACAACGCTATGGTAGTAGTGAAGGACTAGCTAGCTAGGTAGCTACACCTACTATGGAGTCCACTATGGAGTCCGGGGGCATGCTGCCTGGCTCCAGACACCATCTTTGCTTGCTCTGCCCTTTTCACCACCTCCCTCCGATGATCAGTCAAGCCATGAACCCTCTGATGACCTTCCATCTCATGAATGATGCTGTTGTTTTCTAAATTGCTCGTCTTTTTTGTGTTGCTTTAGCTTTAAGATTCTTATGTAATGAAAAGCACTATAAAAGTTGAATAAATTATTATTATTATTGTTATTATTATTATTATTATTATTATTATTATTATTATTATTATACTGATGTTGCATCATTACCTGATTTGGGGGTTATGTATTTCATTATGTTTTCATGACAATTGTCAGTGTTAGGCAGCTGTACCTTGCACTGTTAGCTGAATGATTCCTCTGTCTTCACCATAGGAGTTGATGGCATGGCAGGAGAAGAAGCCAGAGTCTTCCCTCACTGTAGGCCGGATCTATAGAAAGGGGAAAAAGAGGGTCCGCTACATAGATAAGGAAGTGCATGGAAAATACACATTCTGGGCAATATCATTCACAGACAGGGCTCATGATGAGCCATCATACCTGTCTACAAACTGACAAACTCAGTATGAAGGCTTTTTCACCAAAGCTTTGGTCCAAGCAAAATCTCTGCATAACCAGTAGCTCTCCACCTGGCCTCAGCTGAGGTAACTGTAACTGGGAAGCGGGCAGTACCACTCCCCCTGGTGGTGTGTCTGTGTACCTGCAGGGTGGAGATGACCTCGTCGGCCACCTCTTTGACGGTGACCACGTAGCGGTGGCTGCTCTCTGGGTTGATGATGCGATCTTCCTTCTCCCAGCGCACCATGATGGGCTTCTCCCCATGGGCCGTGCAGCTCATTCTCTTCTCACTGCCCTGCGTGGCCAGCGTGGTGTTGGGGTACGACGTGATCATGGCTGGGACTGGGAGGGAGAGAGAAAGAGGGGAGGGAAAGAGAGAGAAAGGAGGAGAAGGCACATGTTACATTAGTTATGAAGTAAGACAGGCTGAACATGTTTAGCCATAATTCAATTCCAGTGGGACATCATAGTGATACCTGCCACATGGAGGGTAGTTACAAGACAGGGAAAGGAAAGGGGGATACCTAGTCAGTTGTACAACAATGTATTCAACTGAAATGTGTCTTCCGCATTTAACCCAACCCCTCTGAATCAGAGAGGTGCGGGGGGCTGCCTTAATCAACATCCACGTCTTCGGCGCCCGGGGAACAGTGGGTTAACTGTCTTGCTCAGGGGCAGAACGACAGATTTTTACTTTGTCAGCTCGGGGATTCGATCCAGCAACCTTTCGGTTGACACGACAGGGAACAGTGTAATGAATAAAATCTCTCTGCTCAAATGACACTTAATTGAGTCATAGTATTGCTGACTTCTTTAGTTGCTACGTGTGCTGGTTTGCTCCAACTTCTAACATAATACACAGTAAACCCCATGCCTCCCTGTTATGTTGAGCTGTGACAACAAACATCTTATGACCACAAGCAGCCAAGGCTTGGATAGGAGAAAATCCCTATTGGTCGGTCTCTGACAGCACACTACACACACTAGAGACTCATTACCCCCACAACTGAGTGTGTAATGACACACACACACACAGGCTCCTGTGATGTAATGGAAAGTGACAGGCGAGGGGTTGCAGACATTTAAGCTTCATCTCTTATTCACTCCCCAGCCATTTTGAGCCGTGCTACAGAAAAATAAGGCTGATTTATTTGGCATGACAACTATGAATTTTTGGTGCGATGCACTTGGAGTAGTGAGGGAAAAAATAACTATTCGCAGCCTTCTGTAAATGTTAGTGTTTTGAGCAATGGTAGTCTCAGTTTACTTATTTGTACATAGTCATAAACTATAACAAACTGTTATGACGTTGTCCACTAGTATTACCATGATTAAGACATAGGATCATGTTGAGATTGGATGATTTGCCTCCAATGGGACTCTAGTGTTAAAAAACGTGTAGTCAATGAAACGCCTACTGTACAGAAGGGCTACATGAGGTGAGCATCACACAGGAGGAGACAGGACCAATGTAACCAGTGTGTGAGAGAGTAAGCAGCACAGCTGTGTCTGTCTGTCCTGAGGCATTTGCCACAGTGCCAGGCTGTTTCTGTAATTGCTGTGTTGATGTATTTCTTTAATATCTAGCAGAATTATGGGCAGAGGAACATGGCTCTGGGGGCAGGGGAGCGAGGTGATGCCTCCACTGGGAGACTCACACATTAGACAGCCACTCATGTTTATTTCACACTGTGGACAAAATAAACAGGTATGCACGCACGCACGCGCTTTATTCAGCAGCACTGACGGATATGTGTATCTCTAACTGACAGAGTAGAGGTTAGGAGAGCCCTGTTTCAAAACCACCAGCGCAGAGGGCAACAACCATGATGCACTCCAGCCTGCTTCTCTGCCTGCCTGCAGGGAATTCTGGGATATTCTGCTCCCACGAGAGAAAAAGCTGCAGCTCCCCCCCTCCCAGGCTCCTTTTCACCTGGCCAGGTTACCATGCCAACTAGCATCGGACAATCTCTCTCTCCCCCGCTCCTTCTCTTCCTCTCTCTCCATCGCCATTCTCAGAAGAGGCCATTTATAGTATCCAGGAAAAGAACATGGACCAGCCATCGACTTTCTACAGGATCATGATTATACTATTCCAGCCCTGAATGTCGCAATGCAGACCCAAAATAAAAACAGGGATATATAACGCATCTCTGTCTCTTATAATAATGTTGGTCATGTGACAAACAATAACGTAATTGAGCAAATAGTTAGGAGAAATTATAGTTAAAAACACTGCCCAGATACTTTACGCTGTGGTCCATTAGAGGCTCATGAACAGTCAAAAATAGAAAAAAATTGACCCTGTCTGTCTCAGTATATTAATCAATATATACAGTGCATTCGGAAAGTATTCAGACCCCTTGATTTTTTCCACATTTTGTTACGTTACAGCCTTATTCTAAAATGGATTACATTTTTTCCCCCTCATCACTCTACACACAATACCACAGAATGACAAAGCAAAAACAGGTTTATAGATCTTTTCAAATTTATTAAAAAACAACAACTGAAATATCACATTTACAGTATTCAGACCCTTTACTCAGTACTTTGTTGAAGCACCTTTGGCAACGATTACAGCCTCGAGTCTTCTTGGGTATGACGCAACAAGCTTGGCACACCTGTATTTCGGGAGTTTTTCCCCATTCTTCTCTGCAGATCCTCTCAAGCTCTGTCAGGTTGGATTTGGAGCATTGCTGCACAGCTATTTTCAGGTCTCTCCAGAGATGTTAGATCGGGTTCAAGTCCGGGCTCTGGCTGGGCCACTCAAGGACATTCAGAGACTTGTCCTGAAGCCACTCCTGCGTTGTCTTGGCTATGTGCTTAGGGTCATTGTCTTGTTGGAAGGTGAACTTTCCCCCCAGTCTGAGGTCCTGAGCGTTCTGGAACAGGTTTTCATCAATAATCTCTCTGCACTTTGCTCCGTTCATCTTTCCCGCGATCCTGACTAGTCTCCCAGTCCCTGCTGCTGAAAACCATCCCCACAGCATGATGCTGCCAACACCCAGCTTCACCATACGGATGGTGCCAGGTTTCCTCCAGACGTGACGCTTGGCATTCAGGCCAAAGAGTTCAATCTTGGTTTCATCAGACCAGATAATCTTGTTTCTCATGGTCTGAGAGTCCTTTAGGTGCCTTTTGGCAAACTCCAAGCGGGCTGTCATGTTCTGGTTACTGAGGAGTGGCTTCCGTCTGGCCACTCTACCATAAAGGCCTGATTGGTGGATTGCTGCAGAGATGGTTGTCCTTCTGGAAGGTTCTCCCATCTCCACAGAGGAACTCTGGAGCTCTGTCAGAGTGACCATCGGGTTCTTGGTCACCTCCCTGACCAAGGCCCTTCTCCCCCGATTGCACAGTTTGGCCGGGCGGCCAGCTCTAGGAATAGTCTTGGTGGTTCCAAACTTCTTCCATTTAAGAATGATGGAGGCCACTGTGTTCTTGGGGACCTTCAATACTGCAGACATTTTTTGGTACCCTTCACCAGATTTGTGCCTTGACACAATCCTGTCTCTGAGCTCTACGGACAATTACTTCGACCTCATGGCTTGCTTTTGCTCTGACATGCACGGTCAACTGCAGGTGCACCTTATATAGACAGGTGTGTGCCTTTCCAAATCATGTCCAATCAATTGAATTTACCACAGGTGGACTCCAATCAAGTTGTAGAAACATCTCAAGGATGATCAATGAAAACAGGATGCACCTGAGCTCAATTTTGAGTCTCATAGCAAAGGGTCTGAATACTTACGTAAATAAGGTATTTCAGTTTTTTATTTTTAATACATTTGCAAACAATTCTAAAAACCTGTTTTCACTTTGCCATTATGTGGTACTGTGTGTGTAGATTGATGAGTGGAAAAAAATATTGAATCAATTTTAGAATAAGGCTGTAACGTAACAAAATGTGGAAAAGGTGAAGGGGTCTGAATATTTTCCGAATGCACTGTACATTTGGGTGGCAGTAGCAGGAACTGAACTTGACAAACACATGTATACTCTTCCTTCAGGTTGTATCACCAGCCAGATTTATATAGATCTACCATACTTATGCCTGATGTGAAATATATTGTAGGCCTATATTTCCACAATCTTATTCAGCCAGTTGAAACAGATAAAACATCCCATCTCCTATCAATCTGAAACCCCTGTTCCATCAACATGCAGTACATTGAATAGTCGTCTAACAGTAACATTAACCTATGACTGTAGATTCCAGGTCGGATGGATAGCCCCAGGCATCAGTCTCTGTTTACCCCAGCAGAGTTAGTGTCTGGCTGGGGAATGTAGGCCACAGGGTGCCCTGGCTGGATGACTGAGCCATGGGAGTGAGACGAGAACGAGACGAGATCACTCCCTACAGGAGCCCACTGCCCCTGGGGCTCTCTGTGTGTGTGTGTGTGTGTGTGTGTGTGTGTGTGTAGAGTGGGTAGGTAGGGGGAATAGCAGTTATGGCACAGATATGACTGGTTCACTGGGTGCTAGCTCCACTCATTGCACCGAAATAATTCCCTTAGCTGCGCAATTGGGTTGGACATTGAGCATGATGCTGAGTATATGGCAGCGGACAGGCTGCTTTGTGTGGGTAGTTGGAGGGCTGAAACAGGGGAAGGAAGGAGAGAGAGAGAGAGAATAATTTTCTATACTCCAGTGTCTGAGGGAAGTGGTCTGATTGGGAGCTTGGCGACCAGGCAACAATGCTGTTTTTCGCCAATTAAGTCTCATTATGTGCATGCTCTCATCATTGTGTCTCAGAGCGTTATGAGTGTAATGCTCTTAATTGATCCTAATTGGCACTGATAAACATTAAGTGGCTGTTGACCCACTCCGATAAAACCAACCTTCTCTGGATTAGTGATGTATCCAGTCAATTGCATCAGTGGAGGTACGTACATTATACAGTAGAGACTGTAGTCATTTAGACAGGGGAATGGGTTCAAATGTTGTTGGTGCCCTCAGCTGCACAAAATATAAATAAGGACATGGATAGTTTTAAGTAAGGTAGAATTAAGTGTTAACGTGTCTAGGCAATATGCCAAATATTCTGAACCTAGGATGAATAAACTATGAATACTGTGAGTGTACACATCCACGCACGCACGTACACATGCACACACATAAAGCTGTGAAAATACTGCTAGTGCAACATAAGCTATTTCTGCTGGCTGTGGGTGTCTATGACAGCGTTCAAATACGTTGATGCATGATATATTATGGTTAGGCATTAGCCGATGCACAGACACTAATAACAATAAAAGCGTCTCACTATGACATCACAATAGCTGCAATTCATTTCCCCATGGTCAAATGGAATCGGTCTAAACCACTGAATTACAGTAGCAGCCTGTGAGGGCCATGATTCTTCAGTAATGGCCTGTGTGTGTATAAGTGTCTATGTGTGCGCGCGTGTGCATGTGTATGCCTATATGTGTGTATTTTCCAGTAACACAGCCAGGTAAACTTGTATGAGCGATCACCCAGCCAAGAACTCATCCAGTACTGTATATCACCTGACCACTTTACAGCCAGTCACTTCCAGTGTTGCTCTAATTGTCTCTTAAGCCTCTTAAGTGGCAGCAGCTTCTCCAGCAGCAGTGGTGTCATATGGCCTGGATAAACAACACACACCAGTACAGCACAGCCTGTACTGCTCCAGCAGTCTATGGCGAGGAGAGGAGGACACAGTTTGGTGTGGGTAAAGTCTGTAATACTACACATGCTAGTCTGCAGCATGCTTAGTGCCTACATGTATGGAGAGGAGGACACAGTCTGGGGTGGGTACAGTATGTAATACTACACCTGCTCAGCAGAGGACAGGCTCTGTGGGTTAATGAGGGTTTCGTCTGGCACAAACACACTGATCCACAGGAGACCAGAGGAGCAGAGCTCCAGGGAGGCTCAGGTTCCAGAGAGCAGGAGGGCCAGACACAACCAACACCCGACCGCACCGATCCGACCGCACAACGATCAAAACAACAACCTGAACCTGACACTCCGGGAGATCAGCTCAACCTGAGGGAGAACACACAGGCTCACACACAGACACAAACATGCACGCACACACTGCAGAGGGACATCTCTCTGTGTGCGCGCGTGTGCGTGTGGACAAAAATCTACCACTGCTGTGGGTACTCTGCTGTGTGTGTCTAGACGTAAGGCTTTAAGTGTGTAGTGCACAGGAGGTTGGTGGCACCTTAATTGGGGAGAACGGGCTTATGGTAATAACTGGAGCAGAATAGGTGGAATGGTGTCAAATACATAAAACACATGGTTTCCGTGTGTTTGATGCCATTCCATTTACTCTGTTCCAGCCATTATTATGAGCCGTTCTCCCCTCAACAGCCTCCACCGGTGTAGTGTATAATTGTGTTTATCCATATGAGTGTGTGTTTGTAAGTGTACGTGTCCTGGTACATGTACTGTGTGTGTGTTTTTGAGGAATTGTGTGAGAGTATTACATGAGCGATTGAGTCAGACAGACAGACAGACAGACAGAGAGAGAGAGCTAGTCATGAGGGAGCAGTATTTGGCTGCGGCAGACAGACAGACTCTGCAGGGACAGATAACAGCTACAAGTATATAAGATCCCTGTGACTAGACCACTGTGTGACTGGAATCAAATGAGCACCCAGCCCAGCCATAGGGATGCAGCAGGAGATCACACACACACACATACATGCACACATAAACAACACACACCTCTCAAGACACACTAAGAACCAGATTTACCCAGAAACTTTGGCTCAAAATGTTTATGTTGATTAAGGAGAATCAACAGTTCCTCTTTCATATTACAAATCAGTGCAGTTTACATAGTCTATTCAACATCAACATCAAATGGGAACTGGTTCGATTCCAGGCTGTATCACAACCGGCCGTGATTGGGAGTCCCATATGGCGGCGCACAATTGGCCCAGCGTCGTCCAGGTTTGGCCGGTGTAGGCCGTCATTGTAAATAGGCCGTCAGTTGTTCTTAACTGACTTGCCTAGTTAAATAAAGGTTAAATAAATAAAAAAAATATAAAAAACTCCTTCAACATGAAAACAATAGCCTGGCATCACTTTTTCTACAGTTTCCTTTTTTCACCTGAAGAGGGCAGTGTTCCTCTTGGAAAAATCTACAGCAACAATTTATAGTATAATCAAAGACTTTAACCTCTAAAAGGGGGGAAAGGAAGGAAAGGGGATACCTAGTCAGTTGTACAACTAAATGCATTCAACTGAAATGTGTCTTCCGCATTTAACCCAACCCATACCATGGATCATTTAGATATTTGATTTGAATTTTAGGACCCCTTTAGGTATCTTTTTTTGTATTATTTGATAAATGTTGAATTTGGCCTTTACTACTATAGCCCATAGAAACGCATTGAATAACACATTCATAAATGGCAAAAAAGATAGACCAAAAATACATCATAAGGAATATGGTTTTGAAGTGTCTGTCCTATATCTTGGAGATATAAGAAAGCTCAGGATATGTTTGTGTTTCTTTGGACATAAACTTACCCCTTATTTTTGTTGCCACAAAACTCATACTTCCATTTTTTTGTATGGGTTACCTTCATAGTTTATAGGCCAAACCGTTTGGATGCTCCAGATGTTTTCGTGAGAAGACTGATTTTCGGGATGTCACATGCTCTGACAAACACCGCTGTAGCTCTGTCACCTTTCACTGCAGATGCAGAAGGCCAACATAGGCGGATGCGGTGGATTGAGACGCAGCCCATGCAAAACTGATATCTCTAGCTTAAATTGATGGATTTTAATGGGATTTTTTTATTATGTTACTTGGATTGACGCACGGGTGCATCAATAGACTTAATTAAAATATGGTATACTCCTGAGTGGCGCAGTGGTCTAAGGCACTGCATCGCAGTGCTAACTGTGCCACTAGAGATCCTGGTTCGAATCCAGGCTCTGTTGCCGCCGGCCGCGACCGGGAGACTCATGGGCGGCGCACAATTGGCCCAGCGTCGTCCAGGGTAGGGGAGGGAATGGCCGGCAGGGATGTAGCTCAGTTGATAGAGCATGGCGTTTGCAACGCCAGGGTTGTGGGTTCGATTCCCACGGGGGGCCAGTATAAAAAAAAAAGATGTATTCACTAACTGTAAGTTGCTCTGGATAAGAGCGTCTGCTAAATGACTAAAATGTAAAAAAAAATGTAAATGTATGCCTGTGGGAGCAGGGGATTGAAATAAGTAAGGAGAGCTTGGAGAGATCTCGCATTTGATTTGTTTCATTATCCAATAACACTGCTTTAATTTCACTTGCTGGACAAGAATATAGTATAATGCATCCAATTTAGCTTTTGTTACTATATTATATTATTCATAAGAAATAATGCCCCACATTTTTCGGGGAGATTATGTAATATTGGGAAGGGGATGAAGGTGCTGAAAAAAATCAAATAAATGGAATTGAATTTTACTTGGGTGGATGGAACTGGCTCTAGAGGTGGGTGATGGGCACAACATCACATCATGTCACTCCCAATCAAATCCCAGTGGTTAGACTGGGAGACACACAATGATGGGAGATGGAGGGAGGAGGGAAAGAGGTAGGAGACAGGCAGACAGGGCAGGGGAAATTATATTGTATCAGAATTTAAATACAGTTAAATATTACACACACACAAAGAAGACAGAGGGAGAAAGACTGAAAGGGAAGACAGAGGGAAATAGGAAGCAGAATAGGAGGAAGAGGAGGAGAGGAAGACAGACATACAGAAGAGCAGCCTAGGGAGAGGAGGGGAGAGAGAGAAGGGGAAGACAAGGGAGGGTGACAGACAGGTAGTCCATCTCTCCACTCCCCTCCCCCTCAGCCCTCTTTTCCACATGGCAGCCTCTGCCTGCATACAGAGTTCAGAGCCTAATGGAGGGGAGCTAAGTCCATGGCCACTCAGCGGATAAACGCCTGTTTCGCAAAGAGAAAGAGAGAGCGACGGAGACTGGCGACGCTGCATGGCTGCTATTGTGGGATGTGTTCAGGCAGAAAGATACAGGGCCATGATAGTGGTGGTGGTGGTGGCGGCACCACACTGGTGGCCTCTCTGTCACAGAGCACAGTGACTCCACTCACTTAACCTTTAGCCATTTAACGCCACAAACACTACCCAGCACTATACTGGACCACCCCATTGTAAATACAGGGCTAAAACAATGTGGCTCTTTGACATCCCTAGCACTACATTCCCACACAGGGACACTCACTCCAGCACAGACCACTAACATGACTTAACATCAAACAGAAATGGATGCTCGGAAGAGTCCACAAAATGGCTTTCAATAATGTCTCTAGTGAGAGCCAACATGTAGCCTACTGCTTCCCCATGGGTCTCCCTTAAGGTACTTTTGACACTAAGCTTTGTATTATTATTATTTATTTATTTTTACATCGGAGAACACATACATTTCAGGATGGGGGGGGGGGGGGGTCTTCCATTTGACACTGAGGTCCATTTATACAGACAGGGGTCTTCAGTGACTTACTTTTGACGTTGAGGTACATGGACTTGCTGACGTCAGCTCCCACGTCGTTGCTGACCTTACACAGGTAGTAGCCGCTGTCCTCCTCCAGTACATGTTTGATGAGCAGAGAGCCGTTGACCAGCACCTGGATACGGAAGCCCGAGTTCAAGGCTATAGGCTGGAACTGGGGAACCCCCGCACCTAGGGAGGGAGGGAGATAGGGAGAGAGGGATGGAGGTAGAGAGAGGAGGAGGAGATGTAAGATGTATTAAAAACACCTCTTGCATAGTTTATGACCAAATGATGAAAAATGATTACATAATGGATGGATGTTTTACGTCAACAAAATCTACAGTACATTTCAATTTCCTCCTTTATGGTAATGTGAGAAGATGTTGCCTTCCCTTCTTCCTCTTTATATTTGTTTAGAGTTTCAGCGCTGAGCTTTCACCATTCAACCTCAAGGCTGTGGACACTGTGTTTGCTGTGTTGGCTCTCCTAAACGGATGCTTTTTAATAAAAAAGCTTCCCGTAGGACAATGTTGTGTTTATGCAATTCAGCAAGATAGTCAGAGGAGTAGAAATGGAAGATGCACAGTTACAGAGGGGTATTTATCCTCAATCATGAACCCAGTGTGTAAACATATCATCATAGTGGTCAGAAGGGAGAAGAGTAGCTTTTAATTAATCCTGGGTCATGTTCAGTAGTGCAACGGAAAATGAACAACTGTGTTCTATTTGGACAGGTTTGTGCAGTACCTCCCTGTTTCACTCTATGTCAAAACATTTACACTCTACTTAACACAATCCTTGTATATTCTGGTCATATTTACCTTTGGAGTGCTTCCACACTATGGTAGGGACGGGGTATCCCTCTGCAGAGCAGTTGAGGATCACAGCTTTTCCATAGATGCCGTCCTGGTCCTTGGGCTGCACCACAAACTTTGGAGGGACTGGTTGGGAGAGCAACAGACAAAAGGTAATTGATTAACACTAGCTATACTGTTATGGTGTTGTAGTTTGAGTTTGTAATACCTTGTGGCTTAAATAGCACAAATTAGAAATGCTATATTTTCACACCAACTGTGAGAAAAACAAGAAGAGCCAATGCTAATGAGTGGTTTAGCATATTAGCCCTGTAGTGGAATAAGTGGCATCACATCACAACATTAAAATATTAAGATTACTGTAAAACAGCATGTGCAACACTGCTATTGGGATTAGGGTTGTATTTTGTTTTAGCATATAGGTTTTCTTTTGCTATACCCAACATAGGCCTAGTGGTAGGTTGATTTGGATCCACTCCAACTGTAGGGGAACATATGAAGAGAGTTTACTCTAGCAGAATACTTGAAAACCAGCAAATACCTTCTAGACTCATATATTTGAGTAGTGTCAAACCTTCTCCCCCTTCACTCCCCACTTCCCTCCCTCCCCCCTCCCACCCCTCTCCACATCCTCTCCCCTCTCCACTCTCACTCCCTCCCCCCTCCTCACCCCTGACGATGAGCTGACTCTGGTGTTCCACGGTGGCGGCCTGGTTGCGTGCGATGCAGGTGTAGTTGCCGTTGTGCAGGAGAGACAGGTTGGAGATACGTAGGGAGCTGGTGAAGTCTATGTTGTCGATGGTTACGCCGAGACTGGCCGGGATTGGCCGACCATCCTTCTGCCAGGTGATGAATACAGGCTGGTCACCTGACATCACCACGCATGGAATGAACACACGTTGGCCAATAGAGAAACGAGGGAACTCGAAGGGATGGATGGTGGGGGGAACTGTGGGAGAAAGAGACGGTAGAGTTAAGGCAAGGGTATTTATGTATGTATCGTACCACTGATCAACCATCCTCGCATCTAGTCTATCACCTTATTAATAACATGGCTTAACACCGTGGAGATGCAGGTGAGAGAGAGAAATTCATTACATTTCCCCTTGCGGAGAGGCGAGGCAGAAGGCATGGCTGTGCTCTACCTCTCCCTCGTTCCCTCTTTCTCTCTCTCTTTCTCTTCCTCTGTCTCTCGCTCTCTGGGGATACTATAGCCATTGTGAGAAACAGATGCTTTGAAAAATTAATAATTTAAAATAACATTGGAATAAACGGCACTTCAACAATTATTTAATTCACAACAAAGTAAGCATAATGGGCTCCTGGGGATTCCCGCTCTTCTCCTTTCCTCTCCGCAGCCTCAGAATGCTAAGCAGCCGAGAGGCAAATTAGGTAGACTGGGAATGTCGGTGTTCTAGGCTTTGTTTAGGGCCGCAGCCAGCGTTATTTCCCCCGCCTTGCACACACGTTAACATGGCGGCGGCACCGAGAGAGGATTCCGATTGGTCCGTTCGTACTGATACTTCAAATTATGCAGCGGCATTATTGAGGAAAGACTAGACCAACTGGGCACAAACTGGTTTAATCATTGTTGTTTCCACATAATTTAAATGAAATTATGTTGAACCAACATGGAATAGACGTTTAATTGACGTCTGTGCCCAGTGGGGAGAGCCATCTGAGGTTATGTATTGTAGTGTACTGGCAGACTGGCATAGTGGCTGTGAATGTTCAGATCAGCTGACTTACTCTCCTATTCTCTCTATACACCAAGTCAATTGGCTCTGTCATATCCTCACATGGTCTCTCCTAATCATTGCTACGCAGACGACACACATTTAATTTTCTCCTTTCCCCCTTCTGATAACCAGGTGGCGAATCGCATCTCTGCATGTCTGGCAGACATATCAGTGTGGATGACGGATCACCACCTCAAGCTGAACCTCGGCAAGACGGAGCTGCTCTTCCTCCCGGGGAAGGACTGCCCGCTCCATGATCTCGCCATCACGGTTGACAACTCCATTGTGTCCTCCTCCCAGAGTGCAAAGAACCTTGGCGTGACCCTGGACAACACCCTGTCGTTCTCTGCTAACATCAAAGCGGTGACCCGATCCTGCAGGTTCATGCTCTACAACATTCGCAGAGTACGACCCTACCTTACACAGAAAGTGGCACAGGTCCTAATCCAGGCACTTGTCATCTCCCGTCTGGATTACTGCAACTCGCTGTTGGCTGGGCTCCCTGCCTGTGCCATTAAACCCCTGCAACTTATCCAGAATGCTGCAGCCCGTCTGGTGTTCAACCTTCCCAAGTTCTCTCACGTCACCCCGCTCCTCCGCACACTCCACTGGCTTCCAGTTGAAGCTCGCATCTACTACAAAACCATGGTCCTTGCTTACGGAGCTGTGAGGGGAACGGCACCTCCGTACCTTCAGGCTCTGATCAGACCCTACACCCAAACGAGGGCACTACATTCATCCACCTCTGGCCTGCTAGCCCCCCTACCTCTACGGAAGCACAGTTCCCGCTCAGCCCAGTCAAAGCTATTCGCTGCTCTGGCACCCCAATGGTGGAACAAGCTCCCCCACGACGCCAGGACAGCGGAGTCACTGACCACCTTCCGGAGACACTTGAAACCTACCTCTTTAAGGAATACCTGGAATAGTATAATAGTAATCCTTCTAGCCCCCCCCCCCCCCTTTCCTACCACTGTCTTTTGTCTAAACTAACACCTGACTTATTTTACCTGCTAGCACTGACTTGTTTAAAGAAATGTACTTATTGTGATCGAGATGTAGTTGTCCCTGATTGCACTGACTTTGCTCACAGCTGCTTGTTTGAAGAAGTGTACTTACTGTGATCAAGATGTGGTTGTCCCACTGGCTATCCAATGTTGAATGCACCAATTTGTAAGTCGCTCTGGATAAGAGCGTCTGCTAAATGACTTAAATGTAATGCATATAGCCTAGTACATCACTGGGGCCGAGCACCCTGCCATCCAGGACCTCTATACCAGGCGGTGTCAGAGAAAGGCCCTAAAAATGGTCAAAGACTCCAGCCACCCAAGACATACAGTGAGGGAAAAAAGTATATGATCCCCTGCTGATTTTGTACGTTTGCCCACTGACAAAGAAATTATCAGTCTATAATTTGAATGGAAGGTTTATTTGAACAGGGAGAGACAGAATAACAAAACAAAAATCCAGAAAAACGCATGTCAAAAATGTTATAAATTGATTTGCATTTTAAATTAGGGAAATAAGTATTTGACCCCCTCTCAATCAGAAAGATTTCTGGCTCCCAGGTGTCTTTTATACAGGTAACGAGCTGAGATTAGGAGCACACTCTTAAAGGGAGTGCTCCTAATCTCAGTTTGTTACCTGTATAAAAGACACCTGTCCAAAGAAGCAATCAATCAATCAGATTCCAAACTCTCCACCATAGCCAAGACCAAAGAGCTCTCCAAAGATGTCAGGGATAAGATTGTAGACCTACACAAGGCTGGAATGGGCTACAAGACCATCACCAAGCAGCTTGGTGAGAAGGTGACAACAGTTGGTGCGATTATGCGCAAACGGAAGAAACACAAAATAACTGTCAATCTCCCTCGGCCTGGGGCTCCATGCAAGATCTCACCCTGTGGAGTTGCAATGATCATGAGAACGGTTAGGAATCAGCTCAGAACTACACAGGAGAATCTTGTCAATGATCCCAAGGCAGCTGGGACCATAGTCACTAAGAAAACAATTGGTAACACAATACGCTGTGAAGGACTGAAATCCTGCAGCGCCCGCAAGGTCCCCCTGCTCAAGAAAGCACATATACAGGCCCGTCTGAAGTTTGCCAATGAACATCTGAATGATTCAGAGGAGAACTGGGTGAAAGTGTTGTGGTCAGATGAGACCAAAATCGAGCTCTTTGGCATCAACTCAACTCGCCGTGTTTGGAGGAGGAGGAATGCTGCCTATGACCCCAAGAACACCATCCCCACTGTCAAACATGGAGGTGGAAACATTATGCTTTGGGGGTGTTTTTCTGCTAAGGGGACAGGACAACTTAACCGCATCAAAGGGACGATGGACGGGGCCATGTACCATCAAATCTTGGGTGAGAACCTCCTTCCCTCAGCCAGGGCATTGAAAATGGGTCATGGATGGGTATTCCAGCATGACAATGACCCAAAACACACAGCCAAGGCAACAAAGGAGTGTCTCAAGAAGAAGCACATTAAGGTCCTGGAGTGGCCTAGCCACTCTCCAGACCTTAATCCCATAGAAAATCTGTGGAGGGAGCTGAAGGTTCGAGTTGCCTCGAAACCTTAATGACTTGGAGAAGATCTGCAAAGAGGAGTGGGACAAAATCCCTCCTGAGATGTGTGCAAACCTGGTGGCCAACTACAAGAAACGTCTGACCTCTGTGATTGCCAACAAGGGTTTTGCCACCAAGTACTAAGTCATGTTTTGCAGAGGGGTCAAATACTTATTTCCCTCATTAAAATGCAAATCAATTTATATCATTTTTGACATGCGTTTTTCTGGATTTTGTTGTTGTTATTCTGTCTCTCACTGTTCAAATAAACCTACCATTACAATTATAGACTGATCATGTCTTTGTCAGTGGGCAAACGTACAAAATCAGCAGGGGATCAAATACTTTTTTCCCCTCACTGTAGACAGTTCTCTCTGCTACCGCACGGCAAGCGGTACAGATGCACCAAGTCTGGATTGAACAGGACCCTGTACAGCTTCTACCCCTAAGCCATAAAACTGCTAAATAGTTAACCAAATAGCTACCTGGACTATCTGCATTGACCCTTTTTACACTAACTCTTTTGACTCATCACATACGCTGCTGCTACTGTCTCAGCCTCCAGTATCTATGCTGCAATTGTCTATGTGCCGGGGGCTAGGGTCAGTCTGTTATATCTGGTGTTATTCTCCTGTCTTATCTGGTGTCCTGTGAGAATTTAAGTATGCTCCCTCTAATTCTCGCTCTCTCCCTCCCCTCCCAGAGGACCTGAGCCCTAGGACCATGCCTCAGGACTACCTGGCCTGATGACTCCTTGCTGTTCCCAGTCCACCTGGTAGTGCTGCTGCTCCAGTTTCAACTCTTCTGCCTGCGGCTATGGAACCCTGACCTGTTCACCGGACGTGCTACCTTGTCCCAGACCTGCTGTTTTCAACTCTCTTTCTCTACCGCACCTGCTATTTCAACCTCTAAATGCCCGGCTATGAAAAGCCAAGTGACATTTACTCCTGATGTACTGACCTGTTGCAACCTCTACAAACACTGTGATTATTATTTGACCCTGCTGGTGATCTATGAATGTTTGAACATCTTGGAGAAAAATCTGGCCTTAATGGCCATGTACTGTTATAATCTCCATCCGGTACAGCCAGAAGGGGACTGGCCACCCCTCACAGCCTGGTTCCTCTCTAGGTTTCAGCCTTTCTAGGGAGTTTTTCCTAGCCACCATGCTTCTACATCTGCATTGGTTGCTGTTTGGGGTTTTAGGCTGGGTTTCTGTATAGCACTTTGTGACATCTGCTGATGTAAAAAGGGCTTTATAAATACATTTGATTGAATTTGATTGATATTATTTATCCTGTTGCCTAGACACTTTATCCCTACCTATCCCTACACAACAGTAGTAGGCCTGATTACCAACAATGACGAGACAGCCTCCAGGGAGGTGGTGAGGGCCCTGGCGGAGTGGTGCCAGGAAAATAACCTCTCCCTCAACGTCAACAAAATGAAGGAGCTGATCGTGGACTTCAGGAGACAGCAGACTGGACCGCAGTGGAGAAGGTGAAAAGCTTCAAGTTCCTCGGCATACACATCACTGAAAATCTGAAATGGTCCACCCACACAGACAGTGTGGTGAAGAAAAGGCAACAGCACCTCTTCAACCTCAGGAGGCTGAAGAAATTTGGCTTGGATCGAGGCAAAGATGAAGGCAGCAAAGTACAGATCCTTGATGAAAACCTGCTCCAGACTGGGGCGAAGGTTCACCTTCCAACAGGACAATGACCCTAAGCACACAGCCAAGACAACGCAGGAGTGGCTTCAAGACATGTCTCTGAAAGTCCTTGAGTGGCCCAGCCAGAGCCCGGACTTGAACCCGATCTAACATCTCTTGAGAGACCTGAAAATAGCTGTGCAGCAACGCTCCCCATCCAACCTGACAGAGCTTGAGAGTATCTGCAGAGAAGAATGGGAAAAACTCCCCAAATACAGTTGTGGCAAGCTTGTAGCGTCATACCCAAGAAGACTCGAGGCTGTAATCGCTGCAAAAAGGTGCTTCAACAAAGTACTGAGTAAAGGGTCTGAATACTTATGTAAATGTGATTAGTTTTTTATTTTAAATAAATTATAAAAATTTATAAAAACTTGTTTTTGCTTTGTCATTCTGTGGTATAATGTGTAGATTGATGAGGGGAAAAAACGATTTCATCAATTTTAGAATAAGGCTGTAACCTAACAAAATGTGGAAAAAGTAAAGGGGTCTGAATACTTTCCGAATACAGAATTCTACTGTATTCTAGTCAATGCCATTCCAATATTGCTCGTCCTAATATTTATATATTTCTTAATTCCATTATTTTCCTTTGAGATGTGTTGTGAATTGTTAGATACTACTGCAGTGCTGGAGCTAGAAACACAAGCATTTCCCTACACCCACAATAATATCTGCTAAATATGTATATGTGACCAATAACATTTGATTTTGATACATACATATCTACCGCAATTACCTTGTACCCTTGCACACCGACACAGTACTGGTACCCCGTAGGTAGAATACCAATACAGTCTGTCACGCCCTGACTCAGGGGACTCGTATTTGTTGAGTCAGGGTGTGTATTTTCTGTGTTGTGTTTTGCTATGTTGATTTTCTATGTTTAGATCTAGAATGTGTAGATCTATTGCCTATTGGCACTAGTGGGTTGTGGGATCTTGTTCCGTGTAAGGTATGTTGTTTGTGTGCTACCTTGGACTTCACGTATTCGTTTCATTTGTTGTTTTGTCGTGGTGTTTATTCAATATAAATAAACATGTATGCATATCACGTGACACAGTCCCTCTCATGAACTAACTCATAGCCCTCTAACTCTTGAAACAAGTAGCCTACCTAACTCTGCCTGACTCCCTGACCCTGCAGAGAGCAGAGGCGGGGGATGGGTTCCCATTGTTTACAGGCTACTCTGTTTGCACCTCTGGAGCGCTCCAGTTACATGCCACAACCAGTGACCTCTGATTAGGACATTTGACTGCCCATCACCACCTTTGACCCTGCCCACCTGCATAGTGGTCCTCTGTAGCTCAGCTGGTAGAGCACGGCGCTTGTAACGCCAGGGTAGTGGGTTCGATCCCCGGGACCACCCATACACAAAAAAATAATGTATGCACGCATGACTGTAAGTCGCTTTGGATAAAAGCGTCTGCTAAATGGCATATCATATATTATCTCCTCAGGGCATCTCTCCACTAGGCAGGTGGGACCAGGACAAGTATAAAAACACAGTCCAGTCCAGGTTAAGTCTTCAGCAAGCAGTGGCAGTGAGGAGCATAAACCTCTGCCCTGCACATCAACAGCTGGGACACAACTCATTGACCATTTCTCCTGCAGCCCTGGACTCTCCCAACACACGCTGGTGTTGTGTGTCACTGACCTACAAACCACTATCACTACAACACTTCCACCTAGTCCACTTCCTGTGTGTGTGTGTGTGTGTGTGTGTGTGTGTGTGTGTGTGTGTGTGTGTGTGTGTGTGTGTGTGTGTGTGTGTGTGCCTGTCTTGAATGTGGCAATAAAGTGGAAATTGTATCCCTGTCTCCTACCGGTCATTTTCCGTCCTCTTACCGGGACGCTGGGGCAGTTGCATCTATATCTAAACCTGCACCTCTATCAGAGACCACCACATGGTGGCGCTCTTTTTCACCGTCTATATAGCCAAGTTATCATTACTCATTGTGTATTTATTTATTTTTCTATTATTTTTAGATTTGTCTCTCTGCATTGTTGGGAAGGGCACGTAAGTAAGCATTTCACTGATAGTCTACACCTGTTGTTTACGAAGCATGTGACAAATACAATTTGATTTGATTATAGGAGCCATACCTTTTACTGATTATGGCATATATCTGTTAAGTGCCTATACCAGAGGCTGTAACACACTTGATTCAGCAAATCAAGATCCTGATGCGCAGCTAATGAGTACAGTCGTGGTCAAAAGTTGAGAATTACACAAATATTAATTTTCACAAAGTCTGCTGCCTCAGTTATGATGGCAATTTGTATATACTCCAGAATGTTATGAAGAGTGATCAGATGAATTGCAATTAATTGCAAAGTCCCTCTTTGCCATGAAAATTAACTTAATCCCAAAAAAACATTTCCACTGCATTTCAGCCCTGCCACAAAAGGACCAGCTGACATCATGTCAGTGATTCTCTCGTTAACACAGGTGAGAGTGTTGACGAGGACAAGGCTGGAGATCACTCTGTCATGCTGATTGAGTTAGAATAACAGACTGGAAGCTTTAAAAGGAGGGTGGTGCTTGAAATCATTGTTCTTCCTCTGTTAACCATGGTTACCTGCAAGGAAACACGTGCCGTCATCATTGCTTTGCACAAAAAGGGCTTCACAGGCAAGGATATTGCTGCTAGTAAGATTGCACCTAACTCAACCATTTATCGGATCATCAAGAACTTCAAGGAGAGAGGTTCAATTGTTGTGAAGAAGGCTTCACGGCGGCCAAAAAGTCCAGCAAGCGCCAGGACCGTCTCCTAAAGTTGATTCAGCTGCGGGATCGGGGCACCACCAGTGCAGAGCTTGCTCAGGAATGGCAGCAGGCAGGTGTGAGTGCATCTGCACACACAGTGAGGCGAAGACTTTTGGAGGATGGCCTGGTGTCAAGAAGGGCAGCGAGGAAGCCACTTCTCTCCAGGAAAAACATCAGGGACAGACTGATATTCTGCAAAAGGTACAGGGTAAGGACTGCTGAGGACTGGGGTAAAGTCATTTTCTCTGATGAATCCCCTTTCCGATTGTTTGGGGCATCCGGAAAAAAGCTTGTCCGAAGAAGACAAGGTGAGCGCTACCATCAGTCCTGTGTCATGCCAACAGTAAAGCATCCTGAGACCATTCATGTGTGGGGTTGCTTCTCAGCCAAGGTAGTGGGCTCACTCACAATTTTGCCTAAGAACACAGCCATGATTAAAGAATGGTACTAACACATCCTCCAAGAGCAACTTCTCCCAACCATCCAAGAACAGTTTGGTGACAAACAATGCCTTTTCCAGCATGATGGAGCACCTTGCCATAAGGCAAACGTGATAACTAAGTGGCTCGGGGAACAAAACATCAAAATGTTGGGTCCATGGCCAAGAAACTCCCCAGACCTTAATCCCATTGAATTTGTGGTCAATCCTCAAGAGGCGGGTGGACAAACAAAAACCCACAAATTCTGACAAACTCCAAGCATTGATTATGCAAGAATGGGCTGCCATCGGTCAGGATGTGGCCAAAAGTTAATTGACAGCATGCCAGGGCGGATTGCAGAGGTCTTGAAAAAGAAGCGTCAACACTGCAAATATTGATTCTTTGCATAAACTTAATGTAATTGTCAATAGAAGCCTTTGACACTTATGGAACGCTTGTAATTATACTTCAGTATACCATAGTAACATCTGACAAAAATATCTAAAAACACTGAAGCAGCAAACTTTGTGAAGACCAATACTTGTCATTCTCAAAACTTTTGACCACGACTGTAGTAGAATCATGTGTGTTGGCGGGGCGGGTGATAGCCTAGCTGTTAGAGTGTCGAGTCAGCAACCGGAGAGTTGCCAGTTCGAATCCCAGGTCTGATAGGAAAACTCTGGACGTAAGCTGGCAACCGGAGTGTTGCTGGTATCAAATTCCAAATGCCATTGCCTGAATTTACGACCTCACAACTGGTAATTACCACCGTGCCACTTGGTTATGAATGTAGCATCTAGCTCTACAGGTTGAGAACCCCTGGCTTATAAATTATCTTTAACTGAGTAGGTTAAAGGTTTGAGTGCATACTGTACCTTTCACACTGACGTGCACACTTTGGCTGGTGGAAAGAGAAGGTGAGACCAGCACGCTACACGTGTACTCTCCCTCATCCACATCCTTCTGTACATCATACAGCTTTAGCGTGCCATTGTTCTCAAACGCCCGCTGCCGGTGGTTATAGGGGAGCAGGTTGGCGTCCTTGTGCCACTTGATGGAGTAGTACGGGTAGCCAATGACGCGGCAGTGAATGTACATGTCCCGCCCAGCAATGGCGGTGAGGTTTTTCATTGGTCTTATGCTGGCAGGCCCTTAATGGAGACAGAAGAGAAATACCTCTCTTAAAATGATTTTGAGGCTGAGAAATGTGAAACTTTAGAAGTTTGAGATGTTTAAGTGTGTCAGAAACCATGGACACAGACAAGGATTAATTCTGAAAGACAAGGACAACATTTATTGGATATTGCAACGCATATTAAAATAATATCTTCCTTTGGGATTTGTTAACTGCCTGACTACGATATCCTACTATTAGTATAATATCAACACCTCTTTTTTCCTGTAATTAGGAAATAAAAGGCAATAATTTACATAAACAAACACATCTCTATAGTCTCATTGAATAATAGTAATATAAAATCACCCTAGTTCCTCATCACTGGGACCTATCCATAGCTGAGTGTTCCAGAGGGGGTGTTCCTACTTTCCTATTTTAAACTCTCAGAGGTGAAGTGAATATTATCACACTGTTCTAGAACCTGCTAGACACCAGGCATGATTGCGTTTGACAAGCATTAGAGTACAATGTTCCCACTCTCCACTTATGAACCTCTTATCAAAAGCATTACTCATGTTCCCCCTGCTCTCTCTCTCACACTGCCGGAAAACCAACAGCATGTAACCAACACAGCTCTATAATACAGACCCTACCAGGGATACTGACTGACTATTAGGATATTTAACATACTGTAGATAGACGACAGTTACCCAATCCATCCTGTATTGCCAATAGGAGCCATAGGAAAACTAACACTTGACAGAAATGTACAAATCTAGAGTTAGAGACTGTAGCTGGATAGAACACAGTTGAACTAAATCTGTGGTGGTGTGCACCTCTAGTGCACTGTACAGGCATCCACGTTGCTACTCTCTTTAGCATGATTAAGAAGCCAATGATGCGAGAGACAGTCATTACACTGTCTCTGCAATGGCACCTGTTGATATTTATCTTCTACGCTCAGGCTGCATTCAGAAGCCATGGACGCTCTGCTCAGCTCAGCTCAGCTCTGTTCTGCGCTAGGTTAGCTAGCCTACTGAACTGGAGACTTTAGCATCCCCTCAAGAAGCCCATGCTTAGCTACAACATGGTGCTTTCCAGTGGGAAAACCATTAAAATGAGTTATCCAATCCGTAACACAGGCCATAGGCCTATCCTTCTCTGTTTTGAGCCTTTATAAGGTAATGAATTAGCATTGAGTGGAGGATGGAGGGCCTGGAGTCTCTAGTCTAGATACCCCCAGTAACCATGGTGACAGTCAGTCCTACAGTAGCTGGCTATAGAGCTGCCTGGCACTTCCCTGCTGAGTGTAGATTGCTCCTCAGTCATATGCTAGTGCTAGTGTAAATCAACTTAATGGCGTCCCAATATAAAGCCATCAGCGGATGTTAGGTAGGGAGTAGGGCATTAGAGAAGTTACCGCTGACACCAGTGAGTGATGATCGCAGCACTAGACGATTCCCTAGGATAATCTAGCATGTTTTGAATAGGAAATTAAAGCAAAAGGAAAACGATGGGTACAGACACAAAGATACCCACATCGACACAGACAGAACGACCGTTGGGGAAAACAGACCAGATAGAACACGCTCACACAGAGACACACACAGAGTCAGAAACACACACACACACGTACAAAAACACAGACACACATGTACACACATACACATATTTGTGACATACATAAACAAAACAAGAAGGAACGAAACAACACACACACAACACACACACAACCAACAAGGAGACCCTAAAACGAGCTCAAAAGATGTTAGTCAGGCACTCTCAAAGGAGCTCATGCATCAGAAAAAACAACAAAAACATCAACAACAAATGAATTCATAAACATGTGTAAAATGTAATTGTTTTGGAGGAGCTGATCTGACAAGCACCTCTTACGTTTATTCGCGCCTGGTAGGAGACCGCCCCGGCCGAATTGTTGCAGATGCACCTGTAGACGCCCCCGTCCGGCCCTGTTGTCTGGCTGATGTTCAGGTGGCTGATCACATGGCCCTCCTGGTTGGTGTAGTGGCCGATGCGGTGGCGGGAGTTCCTGATAACCGGATCGTCGTCCAGCGTCCACGTCACCCTGGGCTCCGGCGTGCCTTTCACCGTGCAGAACAGTGACACAAACTCGTTGGTTCCAAACACTTTTTCACTGAAGGAGGAGATGATCTTGGGCGTGCCGTCTGGAGAGAGGGGGAGAGGGAGACAAGATGGGAGGTGTGTTAGAGTTAAAGAGGCTTTTTCTAGTAGATCTAGATACCAATCTAAGGTCAGCTGCATTTTATCCCCCTTAAAGGAAAATTCCACCCAAAAACAACAGTATCTTTTGGTATTTGTTTCATCGGTCCATTGTTGATATGGTCCCAAAATGTTTTGCTTGTCAGCATCATACAGGTCATATTTCTGTATTTTGAAAGTTACATATCTTGAAAACTTGATTGCTGACAAGCAAAACATGTTGGGACTATATCAACAATGGACTAATGTATATGCGAGAAAAAAAACACAAAAAAAACATATGGTGGATTGGAAGTGATGCAGACAATTACATTGATGGAAGTTACAATCTATCTGCAATATTAACGCTGATCTACCCCCTAAAAAAAAAATAAAAAAAATAAATGGACTAATGAAACAAATACTAAAATATCGTTTTTGGGTGGAGTTTTCCTTTAAGGTCAAGGTGAGGATCAGGTTTGGGTCGGCTGATCCTAGATCTATGTCTAGTATACAGTGGGGGAAAAAAGTATTTAGTTAGCCACCAATTGTGCAAGTTCTCCCACTTAAAAAGATGAGAGAGGCCTGTAATTTTCATCATAGGTACACGTCAACTATGACAGACAAATTAAGAAGAAAAAAAATCCAGAAAATCACATTGTAGGATTTTTTATGAATTTATTTGCAAATTATGGTGGAAAATAAGTATTTGGTCACCTACAAACAAGCAAGATTTCTGGCTCTCACAGACCTGTAACTTCTTCTTTAAGAGGCTCCTCTGTCCTCCACTCGTTACCTGTATTAATAGCACCTGTTTGAACTTGTTATCAGTATAAAAGACACCTGTCCACAACCTCAAACAGTCACACTCCAAACTCCACTATGGCCAAGACCAAAGAGCTGTCAAAGGACACCAGAAACAAAATTGTAGACCTGCACCAGACTGGGAAGACTGAATCTGCAATAGGTAAGCAGCTTGGTTTGAAGAAATCAACTGTGGGAGCAATTATTAGGAAATGGAAGACATACAAGACCACTGATAATCTCCCTCGATCTGGGGCTCCACGCAAGATCTCACCCCGTGGAGTCAAAATGATCACAAGAACGGTGAGCAAAAATCCCAGAACCACACGGGGGGACCTAGTGAATGACCTGCAGAGAGCTGGGACCAAAGTAACAAAGCCTACCATCAGTAACACACTACGCCGCCAGGGACTCAAATCCTGCAGTGCCAGACGTGTCTCCCTGCGTCTGAAGTTTGCTAGAGTGCATTTGGATGATCCAGAAGAGGATTGGGAGAATGTCATATGGTCAGATGAAACCAAAATAGAACTTTTTGGTAAAAACTCAACTCGTCGTGTTTGGAGGACAAAGAATGCTGAGTTGCATCCAAAGAACACCATACCTACTGTGAAGCATGGGGGTGGAAACATCATGCTTTGGGGCTGTTTTTCTGCAAAGGGACCAGGACGACTGATCCGTGTAAAGGAAAGAATGAATGGGGCCATGTATCGTGAGATTTTGAGTGAAAACCTCCTTCCATCAGCAAGGGCATTGAAGATGAAACGTGGCTGGGTCTTTCAGCATGACAATGATCCCAAACACACCGCCCGGGCAATGAAGGAGTGGCTTCGTAAGAAGCATTTCAAGGTCCTGGAGTGGCCTAGCCAGTCTCCAGATCTCAACCCCATAGAAAATCTTTGGAGGGAGTTGAAAGTCCGTGTTGCCCAGCGACAGCCCCAAAACATCACTGCTCTAGAGGAGATCTGCATGGAGGAATGGGCCAAAATACCAGCAACAGTGTGTGAAAACCTTGTGAAGACTTACAGAAAACGTTTGACCTGTGTCATTGCCAACAAAGGGTATATAACAAAGTATTGAGAAACTTTTGTTATTGACCAAATACTTATTTTCCACCATAATTTGCAAATAAATTCATTAAAAATCCTACAATGTGATTTTCTGGATTTTTATTTCTCATTTTGTCTGTCATAGTTGACGTGTACCTATGATGAAAATTACAGGCCTCTCTCATCTTTTTAAGTGGGAGAACTTGCACAATTGGTGGCTGACTAAATACTTTTCCCCCCCACTGTATCTGGAATGTATAAAAGGAGCATTCATTGCCTTACAATTTCTATTACAGTAGTTCAGGGATAAAAAAAACTGCTGACCTCAAGTCACATGCATGAAGGGATCATAATGAGCACATACAGTGTCCATTCAGGCTAATACTGTATATTTCCATATACTGTATGGAATTCAGTGAGAGAACAGAGTGGAGAAATTATTTCAAATCAAATCAAATTTGGGTGTAGTGAAATGTTTGTGCTTCTAGCTCCGACAGTGCAGTAATATCTAACAAGTAATATCTAACAATTTCACAACATATACCCAATACACACAAATCTAGTAAGGAATGGAATTTAAGAATATATACATATATGGACAAGCAATGACAGAGCGGCATGGACTAAGATACAGTAGAATATTATAGAATAGAATACAGTATATACATATGAGATGAGTAGTGCAAGATATGTAAACATTATTAAAGTGACTAGTGTTCCATTTCTTAAAGTGGCCAGTGATTTCAATAGGCAGCAGCAGCAGCTTCTAATGTGCTAGTGATGGCTATTTAACAGTCTGATTGCCTTGAGATAGAAGCTGTTTTTCATTCTCTCGGTCCCAGCTTTGATGCACCTGTACTGACCTCGCCTTCTGGATGATAGCGGGGTGAACAGGCAGTGGCTCGGGTGGTTGATGTCCTTGATGATCTTTTTGGCCTTCCTATGACATCGGGTGCTGTAGGTGTCTTGGAGAGCGGGTAGTTTGCCCCCGGTAATGCGTTCAGCAGACCGCACCACCCTCTGGAGAGCCCTGCGGTTGCGGGCGGTGCAGTTGCCGTACCAGGCGGTGATATAGCCTGACAGGATGCTCTCAATTGTGCATCTGTAAACGTTTGTGAGGGTTTTAGGTGCCAAGCCAAATTTATTCAGCCTCCTGATGTTGAAGAGGCTCTGTTGTGCCTTCTTCACCACACTGTCTGCGTGGGTGGACCATTTCAGTTTGTCAGTGATGTGTACGCCAAGGAACTTGAATCTTTCCACCTTCTCCACTGCGGTACCGTCGATGTGGATAGGGGATGCACCCTCTGCTGTTTCCTGAAGTGTTTCCTGAAGATTTGGAATTGTTCTTACTCCTCCTCCCCCTCCTCCTCCTCATCATTATAGATTATCAATACCCTCTTTATACTGGTCCATGGCCACGGGAGACAGTTGCCGCAGCAACGGAGTTCAGGGCATGCGAGCAATGTGAGGCTCGTTCAGATAATCTAATCATAGGGGCTGTGGCAGGGCTTTACTGCAGCCCTCATTAGCACACGCACGCACGCGCGCACTCACGCACGAACGCCTGATCAATGGTTGGTGCTCCCCAATTCTGCAGTCACACAAACACAAATAAAAACACATGCAGGCAAGCACACACTCACATGCATGGACACTCACACACAGATAAAATAAAATAAAATGTTATTTGTCACATGCGCCGAATACAACAGGTGTAGACCTTACAGTGAAATGCTTACTTACAAGCCCTTAACCAACAATGCAGTTTTAAGAAAAATAAGTGTTAAGTAAAATAGAGGTAAGTAAATATAAAAAAGAAAAAAAGAAAAAAAACAAATAATTAAAGAGCAGCAGTAAAATAACAGTAGCAAGGCTATATACAAGTGGTACCGGTACAGAGTCAATGTGCGGGGGCACAGGTTAGTCGAGGTAATTGAGGTAATATGTACATGTGGGTAGAGGTAAAGTGGCTATGCATAGATAATAAACAGAGAGTAGCAGCAGCATAAAAAGAGGGGGTGTGGGGGGGGGGGGGGACAATGCAAATCGCCTGGGTAGCCATTTGATTAGCTGTTCAGGAGTCTTATGGCTTGTGGGTAGAAGCTGTTAAGAGGCATTTTGGATCTAGACTCCGGTACTGCTTGCCGTGCGGTAGCAGAGAGAACAGTCTATGACTAGGGTGGCTGGAGACTTTGGCAATGTTTAGGGCCTTCCTCTGACACCGCCTGGTATAGAGGATCTGGATGGCAGGAAGCTTGGCCTCAGTGATGTACTGAGCCGTACGCACTACCCTCTGTAGTGCCTTGCGGTCGGAGGCCGAGCAGTTGCCATACCAGGCGGTGATGCAACCAGTCAGGATGCTCTCGACGGTGCAGCTGTATAACTTTTTGAGGATCTGAGGACCCATGCCAAATCTTTTCAGTCTCCTGAGGGGGAATAGGCTTTGTCGTGCCCTCTTCACAACTGTCTTGGTGTGTTTGGACCAAGATAGTTTTTTTGGTGATGTGGACACCAAGGAACTTGAAGCTCTCAACCTGCTCCACTACAGCCCAGTCGATGAGAATGGGGGCGTGCTCGGTCCTCCTTTCCCTGTAGTCCACAATCATCTCCTTTGTCTTGATCACGTTGAGGGAGAGGTTGTTATCCTGGCACCACACGGCCAGGTCTCTGACCTCCTCCTTATAGGCTGTCTCATCGTTGTCGGTGATCAGGCCTACCACTGTTGTGTCATCGGTAAACTTAATGATGGTGTTGGAGTCGTGCTTGGCCATGCAGTCATGGGTGAACATGGAGTACAGGAGGGGACTGAGCACGCACCCCTGAGGGGCCCCCGTATTGAGTGGCAGCGTGGCAGAAGTGTTGTTACCTACCCTTACCACCTGGGGGCGGCCCGTCAGGAAGTGCATGGTCACACATTGCTCACATGCACATACACACTAAAAACATACAAATACACAAACACAAAAACACACATTCAGAGAGGTTCTCTGCTGTGATTGAAAGTAACATTGCTAACCCCCTGACCAAACAGACATCCACTGAGAGTACTGACCTTCCAGGATGACCTGGACAAAGTCCTGGGCGGACATCTTGCTTTTCCTAGCGAAGCACTGGTAGGCTCCTCCATCACTCTTAGCCATCCCAGCCATGATCAGGTTCTCCCGGTTGTTGCCAGTCATGCGAACACTGTTCCCAGGGTAGATAATTTCTCCATTCCGGTACCAGGACAGCTCGTACTCCTCCGAGCCACTCACGCTGCACGACAGAGACACCTGGCTACCCACGCTGCCTTTCACCTTTTTTGGGCTGACCACTGCCTTCAGGGGCTCTGGTAGAGGGAGAGGGGGCTTAGACTCTCTTGGCAATTGGACATACTGTATATCAGCTAAAAAAGGAGCAACTCTAAAATGGATTTTAAACTCCAAAGACAAACAGTATCTCAGATACACATTAACAACAAACATACTGTACATTTAGCACAACATGCTGCACACAGTCTATTACTGACCTTTGACCTGCAGCCTCCCCACCACCTCGGCGTTGCCATAGCTGTTCCACACCTCACACACGTAGCTTCCCTTGTCGCTGGGCTGCGCCCTCTCTATCAGCAGCCCCGTCACACTCTGCCTGAAGCGGCTGTCCGGCTCCAGCGGTCGGTTGTCCTTCAGCCAGCGGTACTTGGGGGCTGGATGACCAGACGCCTTGCAAGGCAGCTCCACCCGGTGTGATGTCATCACCTCACGACGCTCAAAGCCATCCAGGATGACCGGCGCCGAGTTGGAAGGGTCTGAGGGAGGAACAATGGCCAAAGGTGAGATGGATTCAATATTTTGGTCAAAAGTATGCATTTTTAGCAATACTCAGTTGACTAGCTTGAAGCAGGTCCAGATTGAAGGATTGAAGTGAAACAATAGTGAAACCTAGTGATATTCAGAGTGTATTCCAGGCTATCATTGGCACCCAAACTTGCCCAAACTTGCACAACAGACGGGTATCCAAGCCGTACTGTCACTCTGCATACCTGAAACAAAGAGGCGTGCGCTGTTGCTCTGCCTGGTCTCTCCCGTGTAGCGGTGGCGTGTCATACACCTGTAGTTATACAATCCATCCTCATTCTGCACGTCCAGGATGTACAGTGCTCCCGTGGAGGTGATGAGGAACCGAGGCGCTGCAACATAACAAGACACAGCTAATCGTTAGACACGTGCAACATACAACCTGCTTATGTAGCTTAGTAGCAACATACTGTACAACCATATAGCTGTGTGGCATACAGTGCTTTGTAAAAGTATTCATCCCCTTTTGGTGTTTTTCCTATTTTGTTGCATTACAACCTGTAATTTAAATGGATTTTTATTTGCATTTCATGTAATGGACATACACAAAATAGTCAAAATTGGTGAAGTGGAATGAAAAAAAATTACTTGTTAAAAAAACAATCTAAAAAATAAATAACGGAAAAGTGGTGCGTGCATAGGTATTCACCCCCTTTGCTATGAAGCCCCTAAATAAGATCTGGTGCAACCAATTACCTTCAGAAGTCACACAATTAGTTAAATAAAGTCCACCTGTGTGCAATCTAAGTGTCACATGATCTGTCACATGATCTCAGTATATATACACCTGTTCTGCAACACCACTAAGCAAGGGGCACCACCAAGCAAGCGGCACCATGAAGACCAAGGAGCTCTCCAAACTGGTCAGGATCAAAGTTGTGGAGAAGCACAGATCAGAAACTTTGAACATCCCATGGAGCACCATTTAAATCCATTATTAAAAAATTGAAAGAATATGGCACCACAACAAACCTGCCAAGAGAGGACCGCCCACCAAAACACAAGGACCAGGCAAGGAGGGCATTCATCAGAGAGGCAACAAAGAGACCAAAGATAACCCTGAAGGAGCTGCAAAGCTCCACAGCGGAGATTGGAGTATCTGTCCATAGGACCACTTTCAGCCATACACTCCACAGAGCTGGGCTTTACGGAAGAGTGGCCAGAAAAAAGCCATTGCTTAAAGAAAAAAATAAGCAAATACGTTTGGTGTTTGCCAAAAGGCATTTGGGGGCTACCCAAACATATGGAAGAAGGTACTGTGGTCAGATGAGACTAAAATTGAGCATATTGGCCATCAAGGAAAACGCTATGTCTGGTGCAAACCCAACACCTCTCATCACCCCTAGAACACCATCCCCACAGTGAAGCATGGTGGTGGCAGCATCATGCTGTGGGGATGTTTTTCATCGGCAGGGAAACTGGTCAGAATTGAAGGAATGATGGATGGCGCTAAATATAGGGAAATTCTTGAGGGAAACCTGTTTCAGTCTTCCAGAGATTTGAGACTGGGACGGATGTTTACCTTCCATTTAAATTTTTAAATTTTCGTCATTTAGCAGACGCTCTTATCCAGAGCGACTTATAAATTGGTGCATTCACCTTATGATAGCCAGTGGGACAACCACTTTACAATATTATTATTATTATTAAAAAAAAAATCTTTGGGGTGGGGTAAGGGGGGGTAGAATGATTACTTTATCCTATCCCAGGTATTCCTTAAAGAGGAGGGGGTTTCAAGTGTCTCCGGAAGGTGGTGAGTGACTCCGCTGTCCTGGCGTCGTGAGGGAGCTTTTTCCACCATTAGGGTGCCAGAGCAGCGAACAGTTTTGACTGGGCTGAGCGGGAACTGTGCTTCCGCAGAGGTAGGGGGGCCAGCAGGCCAGAGGTGGATGAACACAATGCCCTCGTTTGGGTGTAGGGACTGATCAGAGCCTGAAGGTACGGAGGTGCCGTTCCCCTCACAGCTCCGTAGGCAAGCACCATGGTCTTGTAGCAGATGCGAGCTTCAACTGGAAGCCAGTGGTGTGTGCGGAGGAGCGGGGTGACGTGAGAGAACTTGGGATGGTTGAACACCAGACGGGCTGCGGTGTTCTGGATGAGTTGTAGGGGTTTAATGGCACAGGCAGGGAGCCCAGCCAACAGCGAGTTGCAGTAATCCAGATGGGAGATGACAAGTGCCTGGATTAGGACCTGTGCCGCTTCCTGTGTAAGGCAGGGTCGTACTCTGCGAATGTTGTAGAGCATGAACCTGCAGGATCGGGTCACCGCCTTGATGTTAGCGGAGAATGACAGGGTGTTGTCCAGGGTCACGCCAAGGCTCTTTGCACTCTGGGAGGAGGACACAACGGAGTTGTCAAACGTGATGGCGAGATCATGGAACGGGCAGTCCTTCCCCGGGAGGAAGAGCAGCTCCGTCTTGCCGAGGTTCAGCTTGAGGTGGTGATCCGTCATCCACACTGATATGTCTGCCAGACATGCAGAGATGCGATTCGCCACCTGGTTATCAGAAGGGGGAAAGGAGAAGATTAATTGTGTGTCGTCTGCGTAGCAATGATAGGAGAGGCCATGTGAGGATATGACAAAGCCAAGTGACTTGGTGTATAGCGAGAATAGGAGAGGGCCTAGAACTGAGCCCTGGGGGACACCAGTGGTGAGAGAACGTGGTGCGGAGACAGATTCTCGCCACGCCACCTGGTAGGAGCGACCTGTCAGGTAGGACGCAATCCAAGAGTGAGCCGCGCCGGAGATGCCCAACTCGGAGAGGGTGGAGAGGAGGATCTGATGGTTCACAGTATCAAAGGCAGCAGATAGGTCTAGAAGGACGAGAGCAGAGGAGAGAGAGTTAGCTTTAGCAGTGCGGAGAGCCTCCGAGTCACAGAGAAGAGCAGTCTCAGTTGAATGACCAGTCTTGAAACCTGACTGGTTTGGATCAAGAAGGTCATTCTGAGAGAGATAGCAAGAGAGTTGGCTAAAGACGGCACGCTCAAGAGTTTTGGAGAGAAAAGAAAGAAGGGATACTGGTCTGTAGTTGTTGACATCGGAGGGATCGAGTGTAGGTTTTTTGAGAAGGGGTGCAACTCTCGCTCTCTTGAAGACGGAAGGGACATAGCCAGCGGTCAAGGATGAGTTGATGAGCGAGGTGAGGTAAGGGAGAATGTCTCCGGAAATGGTCTGGAGAAGAGAGGAGGGTATAGGGTCAAGTGGGCAGGTTGTTTGGCGGCCGGCCGTCACAAGTCGCAATATTTCATCTGGAGAGAGAGGGGAGAAAGAAGTCAAAGCATAGGGTAGGGCAGTGTGAGCAGGACCAGCGGTGTCATTTGACTTAACAAACGAGGATCGGATGTCATCAACCTTCTTTTCAAAATGGTTGACGAAGTCATCCACAGAGAGGGAGGAGGGGGGAGGGGGAGGAGGATTCAGCAGGGAGGAGAAGGTGGCAAAGAGCTTCCTAGGGTTAGAGGCAGATGCTTGGAATTTAGAGTGGTAGAAAGTGGCTTTAGCAGCAGAAACAGAGGAAGAAAATGTAGAGAGGAGGGAGTGAAAAGATGGCAGGTCCGCAGGGAGTCTAGTTTTCCTCAATTTCCGCTCGGCTGCCCGGAGCCCTGTTCTGTGAGCTCGCAATGAGTCATCAAGCCAGGGAGCAGGAGGGGAGGACTGAGCCGGCCAGGAGGATAGGGGACATAGAGAGTCAAAGGATGCAGAAAGGTAGGAGAGGAGGGTTGAGGAGGCAGAATCAGGAGATTGGAGGGAGAAGGTTTGAGCAGAGGGAAGAGATGATAGGCTGGAAGAGGAGAGAGTAGCGGAAGAGAGAGAGCGAAGGTTGCGACGGCACATTACCATCTGAGTAGGGGCAGAGTGAGTAGTGTTGGAGGAGAGCGAGAGAGAAAAGGATACAAAGTAGTGGTCGGAGACATGGAGGGGAGTTACAGTGAGATTAGTAGAAGAACAGCATCTAGTAAAGATGAGGTCAAGCGTTTTGCCTGCCTTGTGCTTAGGGGGGGATGGTGAGAGGGTGAGGTCAAAAGAGGAGAGGAGTGGAAAGAGGGAGGCAGAGAGAAATGAGTCAAAGGTAGACGTAGGGAGGTTAAAGTCACCCAGAAGTGTGATGGATGAGCCATCCTCAGGAAAGGAACTTATCAAGGCATCAAGCTCATTGATGAACTCTCCAAGGGAACCTGGAGGGCGATAAATGATAAGGATGTTAAGCTTGAATGGGCTGGTGACTGTGACAGCATGGAATTCAAATGAGGAGATAGACAGATGGGTCAGGGGAGAAAGAGAGAATGTCCACTTGGGAGAGAGGAGGATTCCTGTGCCACCACAGATGCTCTCGGGGTATGCGAGAACACATGGTCAGACGAGTAGAGAACAGTAGGAGTAGCAGTGTTTTCTGTGGTAATCCATGTTTAAGTCAGCGCCAAGAAGTCGAGGGACTGGAGGGTAGCATAGGCTGAGATGAACTCTGCCTTGTTGGCCACAGAACGGCAGTTCCAGAGGCTGCCGGAGACCTGGAACTCCACGTGGGTCATGCGTGCAGGGACCACCAGGTTAGAGTGGCAGCAGCCACGCGGTGTGAGGCGTTTGTATAGCCTGTGCGGAGAGGAGAGAACAGGGATAGACAGACACATAGTTGACAGGCTACAGAAAATGGCTACAATAATGCAAAGGAGATTGGAATGAAATGAACTAAACATCTGGGAAAGCGAGAGAGCGGGGCCTCCCTCACTTACGTTTCATTGAAACACTCAAATATAACTCTCCCAACTTCCACTTTAGAAATTATAATTGTTGTAAACTACAGCGGTTCAATGTTTTCTAGGAATAGACTAACTTAGTTTATTCAGCTAGCTAACTTGGTACAGTATTCTTCCGTGAAAACCGTCCAGGGCACCGAATCCTATGACACCATAGCCAACTAGCATGCCAGCCTCCAATAACACGGTTTAGCACCAATACTCGGTTACAACAAACCACCAGTGTGTTAACACGCCAAGCAGATCATTTGTGTCCGTGTCTAACGTTGTGTAAAGTTTTGGGTTAGTTTTGACAGTTTGAGTGAGTCCGTCGTCAACTTATTCAGCCAGTTAGTTAGCTAGAATAGTTAGCGTACTAGCTAGCCATTGCTCTCTGCCAATGAAAAACCCCTCCTCCCACGGCACGAACACACAGAGAGAGCCAAGCTAACGTTAACTAGTCACCCATGTCCCGAATTCCCTTGAACGACTCTGGTTACCAGTATGTAAAAACAAAACACAAATGTAGGTTATAACTTACCCTTAGTAGCTACTGTTAGGACAATGACCCTAAGCATACTGCTAAAGCAACACTTTAGTGGTTTAAGGGGAAACATTTAAATGTCTTAGAAAGGCCTTGTCAAAGCCCAGACCTCAATCCAATTGAGAATTGGTGGTATGACTTAAAGATTGCTGTACACCAGCGGAACCCATCCAACTTGAAGGAGCTGGAGCAGTTTTACCTTGAAGAATGGGCAAAAATCCCAGTGGCTAGATATGCCAAGCTTATAGAGACATACCCCAAGAGACTTGCAGCTGTAATTGCTGCAAAAGGTGGCTCTACAAAGTATTGACTTTGGGGGGGTGAATAGTTATGCACGCTCAGGTTTTCTGTTTTTGTGTCTTATTTCTTGTTTGTTTCACACAAACATTTTTTTTGCATCTTCAAAGTGGTAGGCATGTTGTGTAAATCAAATGATACAAACCCCCCCCAAAATCTATTTTAATTCCAGGTTGTAAGGCAACAAAATAGGAAAAATGCCAAGGGGGGTGAATACTTTCGCAAGCCGCTGTATATACTTTCTTTTTCTTTTTCATTCACAACACAGTGTAATCAGAATCATCCTGCATTTACAGTTATAATTCAACAAATAAAAACACTCAAAACAGCCCTAGCAACACTTGATATAGAATATCCAAGTGGCTTTGTAAATATTTGCAGAGTTCTCTTCTGTGAAGTGCCTGGCGACGAGACTATAGACACTGAACATCTGCTCCAGCCCACTTTGCTGAACACATCTGAGAGGAAATGTGACAAGGCTGTGTGTTGTGGCAGTCTAACACAGCTCGTTATCACATAGCTCATCGCTCTGCTCTCTCTCTCTCTTGGGGATGCTCTCTCTCTCTCTGGCAGAACTCTCTCTTTTTCAGACTAAAGCAGAGAGATCCAGGGACAAAGATCACATAGAGCTTTGATATGGCACCGCGGCGCAGCTCAGGTCGGATGTGTTTATATCATACTAATTCGTGGGACAACGTTTAGGAGGACTAATGCCTGATGCCTGCCGGAGCTGTCATAGCAGGAGCTGGAAGGATATTCCTCAGTCACAGATGATGGAGGATGCTGTTTAGGATGGGGTTGGGGATGGCATGTGCACAGTACCTCCCATTTCCTTCCCATCTATGCCAGTCAGTATTGAAGCTATGGCAACTGGTTCAATCTACACTATTTTGACCCCATTTTTACCCAATTTTATTTTTGATATAGAAAGGGAAAAATGAATATTGAGACATACTCTTTTGTTTGGACCTTTGAACAGAATGCTACAATAATCCATAGAAGGCAGTAATGAACCAGTGTTCATGTCCTTGATGTTTAATTAAAGAATATTGATTCAACCTTGTGGTGTTTTACATTTGATAGAAAGAGGAGAGTTGAAATGAAGAAGGAGTAAACAAAGAGAGAAGGTTAAATAGAGAGAGAGAAAGAGAGATACACTGTATATACAAACGTATGTAGACACCCCTTCAAATTAGTGGATTCGGCTATTTCAGCCACACCCGTTGCTGACAGGTGTATAAAATCGAGCACAGAGCCATGCAATCGCCATAGTCAAACACTGGTAGTAGAATGGCAAAGCATATTCCCCCTCAGGAGACTGAAAAGATTCGGCATGGGTCCTCAGATCCTCAAAAAATTCTACAGCTGCACCATCGAGAGCATCCTGACTGGTTGCATCACCGCCTGGTATGGCAACTGCTTGGCCTCCGACCGCAAGGCACTACAGAGGGTAGTGCGTACGGCCCAGTACATCACTGGGGCCAAGCTTCCTGCCATCCAGGACCTCTATACCAGGCGGTGTCAGAGGAAGGCCCTCAAAATTGTCAAAGACTCCAGCCACCCTAGTCATAGACTGTTCTCTCTGCTACCGCACGGCAAGCGGTACCGGAGTGCCAAGTCTAGGTCCAAAAGACTTCTCAACAGCTTCTACCCCCAAGCCATAAGACTCCTGAACAGCTAATCATGGCTACCTGGACTATTTGCACTGCCCCCCCCACCCCATCTTTTTATGCTGCTGCTACTCTGTTAATTATTTATGCATAGTCACTTTAACTCTACCCGGGAGCTTCATGAAATGGGTTTCTATGGTTGAGCAGCCGCACACAAGCCTAAGATCAACATGCGCAATGCCAAGTGTCAGCTGGAGTGGTGTAAAGCTCGCCGCCATTGGACTCTGGAGCAGTGGAAACGTGTTCTCTGGAGTGATGAATCACGCGCTTCACCATCGGGCAGTCTGACGGACAAATCTGGGTTTGGTGGTTACCAGGAGAACGCTACCTGCCCCAAATGCATAGTGCCAACTGTGAAGTTTGGTGGAGGAGGAATAACGGTCTGGGGCTGTTTTTCATGGTTCGGGCTAGGCCCCTTAGTTCCAGTGAATGGAAATCTTAATGCTACAGCATACAATGACATTATAGATGATTCTGTGCTTCTAACATTGTGGCAATAGTTTGGGGAAGGCACTTTCTTGTTTCAGCATGACAATGCCACGATGCACAAAGCGAGGTCCATACAGAAAGGGTTTGTCGAGATCGGTGTGGAAGAACGTGACTGGCCTGCACAGAGCCCTGACCTCAACCCCATCGAACACCTTTGGGATGAATTGGAACGCCAACTGCGAGCCAGGCCTAATCGCCCAACATCAGTGCCTGACCTCACTAATGCTCTTGTGGCTGAATGGAAGCAAGTCCCCGCAGCAATGTTCCAACATCTAGTGGAAAGCCTTCCCAGAAGAGCGGAGGCTGTTATAGCAGAAAAGGGGTGACCAACTCCATTAATTTTGGAATGAGATGTTCGACGAGCAGGTGTCCACATCCTTTTGGTCATGTAGTGTACATAGAGAAGGAGAGAGAGAGGGATGCGAGGAGGATGCAGCAGCAGCAGTGTATTGTGAGGAGCGAGCATTGACCTAGTTAGAGCATGGATTTGATATCCTGAAGGGCTTTTCAGCTTGTGGTTTACATGCAGTTGTGTGTGACAAGCAACCACTGGTAAAATGAGGGGGAAAGGAGAGTGTGCACGCATCCGTGTGTGTGTGTGTGTGTACTTGCATGCTAGACAAACACATCAAATCTTCTAAACCTTATAGCAGAGGAGAATGGAATCCTAGTGTTTTTCTAAACCAATTAAACAACTCAACCGTTCTTTATTCTGTTCAAGAGAAGACAACCTTAAATGAGACAGACTTGCAGGTTAAGAAAAATCATTCATTTCCAAGCGATTACAGAAAACAGATATCAAAGGAGGGGGAGTCAGCCTCCTGTCTTTCTTTCTCTCCTTTCTTTGATCCTCCTTTCCCCTGAACTTTGCCTGGCATGCTGCTAGGCGTCAAAAGCTGACAAGATTTTGTTCTACAGGCTTATGAATGAGAGGCGCTTTCATTAAAACAGGATTCATTTAATCCATGACAACGGAGAGTGAGTAATGTGTGTGTGTGTGTGTGTGTGTGTGTGTGTGTGTGTGTGTGGAGCGAGGAGTGCACCAGTGCTGGGACACAGTGACACACACACACATACACACACACACACACACACACACACACACACACACACACACACACACACACACACACACACACACACACACACACACACACACACACACACACACACTGTCTTGCTCACTCACACACACAATTACACACACACAGAGCCTCTAGATTGTTGTTTATTGAATCCCTCTCCTCCTCTCAGTGGAGGGCTGAAATCAGATTCCTGATGGGGTTTCTCTTTACAACCATCCATGATTATATTTATTTTCTCAAGTCCAATTAATCAATACATTTTTTAAAACAATTATTTAGTGATAATTATGAATATGAAATGTTCTACTGTCTCATTCTACATCAACTACACTGTGTGTGTGTGAGCAAGACAGTGCGTGTATGTGTGTGTCACTGTGTAAAGTATCCGCTTTTGTGTGTGTGCGTGTGGACTTGTCTCCGCAGCACAGGGCTACACAGAGGCTTGGTCAATAATAACGATCCACAGCGCTCTGCTACGCCCTCCCCTGCTCCCCCCAGTCTGCCTACTGCATACTAACACAGACGAGGGAAGAGAGAGAGAGCCCTCTGTGATAACGCAGAGCTGTGTGTATGTGATGCATGTGTGTGTGTGTGTGTCAGTGAAAGTGTGTGTGTGTGTCTGAGGGGATGGCAATGGCATCACCAAACCCCAGGTGGCACCAATCGCCATCGATCCCCTTCCCCTCTCCTTCCTCTAGCCAGGTGCTTGGCATGGCCATGATCAGGGACACAAGTCACCCTCTGTGAGTCTCCACTCAATAGATTCTGCAGTGAGCTCTAACATAGACTCTGTATTCTCACAAATTCTGACTGCATCATAACCATGAATAGTAACAGAGCATTGTAGCCATACTAATACATTATATTGTAAAATGTCCTCTAATGCAGTTTCCATTTAGGAAATTCTGTTTTTTGCAATTTTGCACTGATAAAATAGCTCAACAATCTCACATACAAAAATGAATGACAATAGCAAATCATCTCTCCCTGGGAAACACATGGTGGCATTGTTGAACTCTTTCTAAAGGCTGGCCAAGTTGCTGGGTGACCAACTTCCTAAAAGGTGGCTTGCTCCATGCCTGTACACAAAAGGACCGCTGCGTATGACCCTAAACACAGTTCTGAGGCTTCAGCTGATTCTACACTGATAGAGACACGAGGAGAGAGAGAGAGAGAAATAGAGTATGAGAGAAAGAGAGATTAAGGGAGAGAGAAAGAGAGAGAGAGACAGCACCTCTGGGATCCAACCACTCTCTGTCATCTGAAATGACTTACAAATTAGCATACACCAATGTACTGTCTGTGCAAGAGAGAGAGAGAAAAAAAGAGAAGAAGACAACTTTCATATGCTAATACAGATCATGGCCAGGCATAGCAATTATCAAAAAAATGTCAGCCGTGTCTGTTTGACAGATCCCAACAGGCGCTTGAAGACTCTGACCTCACAGCCTCGCTCTCTGTCTCGGTCTCTCTCAAATAAAATAAAATAAAATTGTATTGGCCACATGCGCCGAATACAACAGGTGCAGACATTACAGTGAAATGCTTACTTACAGCCCTTAACCAACAGTGCATTTATTTTTAATAAAAAAGTTTAAAAAAGGGGTGGGGTGGCAGTGCAAATAGTCTGGGTAGCCATGATTAGCTGTTCAGGAGTCTTATGGCTTGGGGGTAGAAGCTGTTGAGAAGTCTTTTGGACCTAGACTTGGCACTCCGGTACCACTTGCCGTGCGGTAGCAGAGAGAACAGTCTATGACTAGGGTGGCTGGAGTCTTTGACAATTTTGAGGGCCTTCCTCTGACACCGCCCGGTATAGAGGTCCTGGATGGCAGGAAGCTTGGCCCCAGTGATGTAATGGCCCGTACACACTACCCTCTGTAGTGCCTTGTGGTCGGAGGCCAAGCAGTTGCCATACCAGGCGGTGATGCAACCAGTCAGGATGCTCTCAATGGTGCAGCTGTAGAATTTTTTGAGGATCTGAGGACCCATGCCAAATCTTTTCAGTCTCCTGAGGGGGAATAGGCTTTGTCGTGCCCTCTTCACCACTGTCTTGGTGTGTTTGGACCATGATAGTTTGTTGGTGATGAAGAACTTGAAGCTCTCAACCTGTTCCACTACAGCCCCGTCGATGAGAATGGGGGAGTGCTCAGTCCTCTTTTTTTTCCTGTAGTCCACAATCATCTCCTTTGTCTTGGTCATGTTGAGGGAGAGGTTGTTATCCTGGCACCACACGGCCAGGTCTCTGACCTCCTCCCTATAGGCTGTCTCATCGTTGTCGGTGATCAGGCCTACCACTGTTGTGTCGTCGGCAAACTTAATGATGGTGTTGGAGTCGTGCCTGGCCATGCAGTCATGGGTGAACAGGGAGTACAGGAGGGGACTGAGCACGCACCCCTGAGGGGCCCCCGTGTTGAGGATCAGTGTGGCAGATGTGTTGTTACCTACCCTTACCACCTGGGGGCGGCCCGTCAGGAAATCCAGGATCCAGTTGCAGAGGGAGGTGTTTAGTCCCAGGATCCTTAGCTTAATGATGAGCTTTGAATACTGAGCTGTAGTCAATGAATAGCATTCTCACGTAGGTGTTCCTCTGGTCCAGGTGGGAAAGGGCAGTGTGGAGTGCAATAGAGATTGCATCATCTGTGGATCTGTTGGGGCGGTATGCAAATTGGAGTGGGTCTAGGGTTTCTGGGATAATGGTGTTGATGTGAGCCATGACCAGCCTTTCAAAGCACTTCATGGCTACAGACGTCAGTGCTACGGGTCGGTAGTCATTTAGGCAGGTTATCTTAGTGTCCTTGGGCACGGGGACTATGGTGGTCTGCTTGAAACATGTTGGTATTACAGACTCAGTCAGGGACATGTTGAAAATGTCAGTGAAGACACTTGCCAGTTGGTCAGCACATGTTCGGAGTACACGTCCTGGTAATCCGTCTGGCCCTGCGGCCTTGTGAATGTTGACCTGCTTAAAAGTCTTACTCACATCGGCTACGGAGAGCGTGATCACATAGTCATCCAGAACAGCTGGTGCTCTCATGCATGCTTCAGTGTTGCTTGCCTCGAAGCGAGCATAGAAGTGGTTTAGCTTGTCTGGAAGTCTTGTGTCACTGGGCAGCTCGCGGCTGTGCTTCCCTTTGCAGTCTGTAATAGTTTTCAAGCCCTGCCACATCCGACGAGCGTCAGAGCCGGTATAGTACGATTCAATCTTAGTCCTGTATTGACTCTTTGCCTGTTTGATGGTTTGTCGGAGGGCATAGCGGGATTTCTTATAAGCGTCCGGGTTAGAGTCCCGCTCCTTGAAAGCAGCAGCTCTACCCTTTAGCTCAGTGCAGATGTTTCCTGTAATCCATGGCTTCTGGTTGGGGTATGTACGTACGGTCACTGTGGGGACGACATGATCGATGCACTTATTGATGAAGCCAGTGACTGATATGGTGAACTCCTCAATGCTATCTGAAGAATCCCGGAACATGTTCCAGTCTGTGCTAGCAAAACAGTCCTGTAGCTTAGCATCTGAGTCATCTGACCACTTTTTTATTAACCGAGTCACTGGTGCTTCCTGCTTTAGTTTTTGCTTATAAGCAGGAATCAGGAGGATAGAGTTATGGTCAGATTTGCCAAATGGAGGGCGAGGGAGAGCTTTGTCTGCGTCTCTGTGTGTGGAGTGAAGGTGGTCTAGATTTTTTTTCCCTCTGGTTGCACATTTAACATGCTGGTAGAAATTAGGTAGAACGGATTTAAGTTTCCCTGCATTAAAGTCCCCGGCCACTAGGAGCACTGCCTCTGGATGAGCGTTTTTCTGTTTACTTATGGCCTTATACAGCTCATTCAGTGCAATCTTAATGCCAGCATTGGTTTGTGGTGGTAAATAGACAGCTCTCTAGATGGGAGGTAAGACATAGTCAGATATTAAAATGCTTCTCTCTCAAACATTTCTCACATCCCTTTGCTGAGTTAGGCTAATGTTATATTGTCAAAATGCAAGCTGTCTATTAGGAGCATAAAGACTTTTAACATCACTTTTGAACTTTGAACCGTGGCAGCTGATCAGCTCACATAAATAAAAAAACACACCCCAGCTATCTTTCAATAACAAAAATAGAAATTTGCTTCATCATCATTTGATTCTCCTCCAAGTAGGGCAGAAGCCCAGTCCCTGCAGAGCCAGCCGACTAGCAATAGCTGGTGCTCCCTGCCAGGCTGTCTCTGCCAGACTGTGCTGTGTTGGGGAGCGGAGGTTGGTTCACCCCCAGAGACAGGGGTTATTATTGTCATTGTAACCTTGGCCACTCAAAGTCACACTACCTGACATTAACAGCAGTATGCTGGCCCACCTGCAGCTATCCGCATCTATAATTAATATATCCTCTACACGCTCTCTCTGTCTACTCCCTCTGTGTGTATGTGTGTGTGTTTGTGCGCATGCATGTGTGTGTGTGTGTGTTGCCTGCTGCGCTGAGACTTGAAGCTGCTGTTGAAAAGACACTGCATAATTATTGTGTTTTCTCTCCACTTCTGAAAGACTCTTTTAAAAATAATTTCTGAACAACAACACTTCAAGGTCCTATGCAGCACAGTGTGCAAGGCTTGGGTTCGAATACTACTTGTTTTCTGTCAAATACTTTAGCTGCGCTTGATTGAGCTTGTCTGGCGCAATGGAATCTATGGAATAGTCCCACAGGTTCGAAACCTGCCCATCCGGCGCTCCTGGCAGGCTCAATCAAACACTCAAAGTGTTCAAAAGATTTCACTATAATTATTTTGAATCCAGGCCTGATATGTATAGTTAGTCATGTCCTGTATATGAGGGAGTATCAGAGTAGAAGAGACCCTGAGTTGTACTGTAATAAGGTCTTATTATTTGGCAGGCCTTAGGAGAAGTAGCTCCATATCTCTAAGACAGTACAGTACAGTTCAGTAGAGGGGGATTCCACCACATTACCCTTCCTGTAATAACCACCATTTGTCACCATTACAGGAAGCTGTTGACAGCTGCTGGGGTTGTCAGGCCAATGCTATCCCTATCCCAGCACCTTCCTACCAAACAATTGTCTGCATAATGTACTAAGCGCACAATGGAAACACACACGCATGTACAGTAAGTTAGTACACACACAAGTTTACAGCCCGAACCATGAAAAACAGCCCCAGAACATTATTCCTCCTCTGCCAAACTTTACAGTTGGCACTATGCTTTGGGGAAGGTAGCCTTCTCCTGGCATCCGCCAAACCCAGATTCGTCCATCGGACTGCCAGATGGTGAAGCGTGATTCATCACTCCAGAGAACGTGTTTCCACTGCTCCAGAGTCCAATGGCGGTGAGCTTTACACCACTCCAGCGTGGCATTGGGCATGGTGATCTTAGGCTTGTGTGCGGCTGCTCGGCCATGGAAACCCATTTCATGAAGCTCCCGATGAACAGTTCTTGTGCTGACGTTGCTTCCAGAAGCAGTTTGGAACTCGATAGTGAGTGTTGAAACCGAGGACAGACGATGTTTATGCGCTACACGCTTCAGCACTCGGCGGTCCCATTCTGTGAGCTTGTGTGGCCTACCACTTCGTGGCTGAGCTGTTGTTGCTCCTAGACGTTTCCACTTCACAATAACAGAACTTACAGTTGACCGAGGAAGCTCTAGCAGGGCAGAAATTTGATGAACTGACTTGTTGGAAAGGTGGCATCCGATGATGGTGCCACGTTGAAAGTCACTGAGCTCTTGATTTTATACACCTGTCAGCAACGGGTGTGGCTGAAATAGCCGAATCCACTAATTTGAAGGGGTGTCCACATACTTTCAAAATATAGTGTATATGTTCTTCTCTCTAACCTGGTTGAGCTTACAGTTTGGGAACACATTGACTGTAAGGCAAGTTACAGACTATCTATCTATCTATCTATCTATCTATCTATCTATCTATCTATCTATCTATCTATCTATCTATCTATCTATCTATCTATCTATCTATCTATCTATCTATCTATCTATCTATCTATCTATCTATCTATCTATCTATCTATCTATCTATCTATCTATCTATCTATCTACAGTGCATTCAGAAAGTATTCAGACCCCTTGACTTTTTACGTTACAGCCTTATTCTAAAATTGATTTAAAAAAACACGTTTTTAGAAAATTTTGCAAATGTATAAAAAATATAAAACTGAAATACCCCATTTACATAAGTATTCAGACCCTTTGCTATGACACTCAAAATTGAGCTCAGGTGCATCCTGTTTCCATTGATCATCCTTGAGATGCTTCTACAACTTGATTGGAGTCCACCTGTGGTAAATTCAATTAATTGGACATGATTTGGAAAGGCACACACCTGTCTATATAAGGTCCCACAGTTGACAGTGCATGTCAGAGCAAGAACCAAGCCATGAGGTCGAAGGAATTGTCGGTAGAGTTCCGAGACAGGATTGTGTCGAGGCACAGATCTGGGGAAGGGTACAAAAAATGCTGCAGCATTGAAGGCCCCAAAGAACAAAACGCTTGGAACCACCTCTTCCTAGAGCTGGCTGCCAGGCCAAACTGAGCAATCGGGGGAGAAAGGCCTTGTCAGGGAGGTGACCAAGAACCCGATGGTCACTCTGACAGAGCTCCAAAGTTCCTCTGTGGAGATGGGAGAACCTTCCAGAAGGACAACCGTCTCTGCAGCACTCCACCAATCAGGCCTTTATGTATACAAACCTGTTTTTGCTTCGTCATTATGGGGTATTGTGTGTAGAAAACGATTTAATCAATTGAGAAGAAGGCGGTACGTAGCTATCGAGCTAGTCTTCGAGCTATCTATCTATCTAGCGATCGAGCTAGCGAGCGAGCGAGCAGCGAGCGAGCGAGCGAGCGAGAGAGCGAGCGATCCGCGAGCGAGCGAGCGAGGCGAGGAGCGAGCGAGTCGAGCGAGGAAGCGAGCGATGCGATGCGAGCGAGCGAGTCGAGGAGCGAGCGAGCGAGCGAGCGAGGAGCTGAGAGAGCGAGCTAGCGAGCGAGCGAGCGAGCGAGCGAGCTAGCTATCTATCTATCTATCTATCTATCTATCTATCTATCTATCTATCTATCTATCTATCTATCTATCTATCTATCTATCTATCTATCTATCTATCTATCTATCTATCTATCTATCTATCTATCTATCTATCTATCTATCTATCTATCTATCTATCTATCTATCTATCTATCTATCTATCTATCTATCTATCTATCTATCTATCTATCTATCTATCTATCTAGCATTAAATCCAGGCAGGCCATGTAGTGTAGATGTACAGTATGTATGCAGTTGAGTGAGCAACAGTTTCTCTACATGGTGATAATCAGGAGAAACATCCCTCTGCTCATTAACTAGTCACAGTAGCCTGGAGCTAACGACTCCCTCCTTCCGTAGGCACGTACGCCAGAGTGGAGGATAAAGATGTCATATTCTGCCTGACTGAACACACACTACTGCTATTAACTGTGGATGGACGTTTAACATTGTCCCAGTGACAAGACAATAATAGTCTAACTAACGATGCCCTGGAGCAAGAGACTGTATCAATCACTCATTTCTGTCTGTCGTTGGTCATTGCACAGCATGTTTGAAATGAATACCTAACGTTAATATATTGATTTATCAAATGAGGATCAAGGTAGTAAAAATGATCAAAAACAAATCAATTATCGTCTGCAGTTCAACAACCCCATGACAACAGCAGGCCGTGACTATGTTCCCTAGATACAAGAATAGCTAAAGTAGGGTCACACACACGTACACAGACAGTAGTGGCTTTAGGGCGTGATTAGTGTGTGATGATATTGTGATGGGCAGAAATGTGTATCAGTGCTCATTCTGCTCATTAGGACTAACTTACAGCTGTTCAGCATTGTCCCCTCCTACACACACCTACTGTATTTAAGCAGTTTATATTGGAACTAAGGTTTGTATGTAATGGGGCTAAGGTTCCTTTGCTGAGCTAAACACTGGCCAACACACACACGCACACACACACACACACACACAAATACGACTTTGGATGTGAACACAAGCTCGTTTCAGACTCTATTTCCTCTGAAATGAATGGGGGCCATTGGGCCATGGTGAGTGACTGTGCGTCTTAATTGGCCAGTGTTTGACTCAAGTCATTAAGCTCTGATGGCTATGCATTTACAATGCTATCATTGGCTTCTCCCTGGCTGGTGCTAAATGGCCCCAGTGTTGGGCCTCAGCTGTATACCTCATGAATATGTATAATATATTCTCCTCTCAGCTGCACTGATGTGAAACCTTTGTGCATAGTGCAAACGCACGGCACTGGCAAGCATTAAGGAAGCTATCACTATCTATTCAATTAATATCTATGATCTGAACACCAAAAATTATGCCACGTGTGAACATTTTTGCTTTGTATGCACATGACAAAAAAGTAAGCCTTTCTCCAATCTCTCACTTTCTCTGTTACAAAGTCCATATAGAGATCAGTGTTTTCACCTGTCCTGATTCACCTCTCTGGATGTCAGCAACCATCAAGGAGTGGGAGGTTCCACGTGGGGGTTCACACTCTCAGTGTCCGGTCTGGAGCGTGAAGTCACAACCTCTGCTGGTCGGCTAATGCGTAGCAACCTAGTGGTGCCAAAAGCCCTGGTCTGCCCTAGAAAGTTACGATCGGCAGAACGGACAAACATAATTTTTTTAAATGGTTGTTTTGGGCACTAAAACATGTTTATTATGTTCAAGTTCGATCCCCACGGTGAATTATTTTAAAGCTCACTACAAATTGAGATATTTAATTAAATAGTGATCCATTCTGACTATTACATTTGTCGTCACACAGGACAATGTGCTGACACAGACCAATCATGGGTCGGCAGGCTACGAGGAGGCTTCATAGACATTAAGGTTGACTCTCTCAGGCAGGCTGAAAACGACTACATCGACCATGATCCTTTGCTAGTTACGGCCACTTTTACCATGATCCTAAGTGATTTTTTGGTGCCATTCAGCCCCATTCAGCAATATGGCGCACTTCAAATTCAAATACTTCTGGCTTCATGCGCCATCGGGCATTTTTCATAGGAATACGTGGATGATGTCAGCGCTATCACTATTTACTGGTTTTAATGTCTATGGTTCTTGCACACACACACACAAACAAACACCTGTCAACTTTCCAAACAGGTTTCTTTCAAATAAATTATGCTTTGTAAAATCTGATGTCAATACAACCTCTGAAAACCAGGCCAACAACCCTAGCTAAACCAAATCAAAACCTCTGTTAAAAACCAAGTCAGTTAAGTGAGCAAAAAATAAAAATGATCAGTGGAGTTGACTTCAGGTCAGCCCTCAGATCTAACCCCTATAGTATAGACTGGTCTTTGATAGATTGAGTGTTCATTGGCATTTCATGGTAATTTGCGGAGGCAAACGGAGGGAGCAGGCAGTGTGCAGCACAGTGCAGCGCTGCAGCACGGTAAGTAAAACAGAAGGGCAAGGGGAGGATTAGATAATCAAACAGTGTGCCACTTTAAATAATCTCTGGCTCCTCTGGGAGAGGTAAGATTCAAAGCCCAGGCGCTTCTGCTTTAATTGTCTGATTCTCCATTCATTATGGTTGAGGGCCTCTGTAATTCAGCTCCATTAAATATTCAGGAGCCAGAAAGAGAGAGAGAGAGAGAGAGAGAGAAGACACTGAGTTAAGACATCTCTCCGTGCTAGAGAGAGAGAGGGAGAGGGAGAGAGAAGGAGAGAGGGAGAGAGAAGACACTGAGTGAAGACATCTCTCCGTGCTAGAGAGAGAGAGGGAGAGGGAGAGAGAAGGGGAGAGGGAGAGAGAAGACACTGAGTGAAGACATCTCTCCGTGCTCTACCTCACTCGCTCTAGCTAATAACAGCAGATTATCTGGCATATTATAGCTGGGAATCTTTCATATGAACAGCTGCTGTCTGATTGATGCAGTTCAACATGCATATGTTAAAACAATCACAATCACTTGTA